CTGGAGAAGCAAAGACTTCAGGGAGATATTATTGTGGCCTTAAAAGGGGCTTGTAAGAAAGATGGGGAGACACTTCTTAGCAGGGCTTGTTACAAAAGGACAAGGAGTAATGGTTTTAAACTGAAAAAGGGGAGATTCAGACTAGGTATTAGAATAAATTTTTTATTATGAGGGTAAAGAAACACTGGCACAGATTGCCCACAGAGGTGGTAGGTGCCCCATCCCCGGAAGTGTTCAAAGTTGTGTTCACAGGGCTCTGAGCCACCTGGTCTAGTTGAAGATGTCCCAGCTCACTGTAGGAGGGACTGGACTAGATAACGGAGGCATGGATATGAACTTAAGTATCATGCATTTGTACAGCCTGCATAGGAATACAAAGTGCACGCATGAACATACATATGAAATGTATGCGCCCTCAGCAATTTTGCCAATGACACCAAGCTGTGTGGTTTGGTTGATATGCTGGAGGGAAGGAATGCCATCCAGAGGGACCTGGACACGCTTGTGAGGTGGGTTGATGCCAACCCTAAGAAGTTTAACAATGCCAAGTGCAAAGTCCTACACCTGGGTCAGAGCAATCCCAGGCACAGCTACAGGTTGGGCAAAGAAGAGATTCAGAGCAGCCCTGCGGAGAAGGGCTTGGGAGTGCTGGTCGATGAGAAAATGAGCATGAGCCGGCAGTGTGCACTTGCAGCCCAGAAAGCCAACTGTATCTTGGGCTGCATCAAAAGGAGGGTGACCAGCAGGTTGAAGGAGGTGATCCTGCCCCCTCTACTCTGCTCTTGTGAGACCTCACCTGGATTATTGTGTGCGGTTCTGGTGTCCTCAACATGAAAAGGACATGGAACTGTTGGAACAAGTCCAGAGGAGGGCCACGAGGATGATCAGGGGACTGGAACACCTCCCATATGAAGACAGGCTGAGAAAGTTGGGGTTGTTCAGCTTGGAGAAGAGAAGGCTGCATGGAGACCTCACAGCAGCCTTCCAGTATCTGACTGAGGCCTGTAAGGATGCTGGTGAGGGACTCCACTACAGACTGTAGTGACAGGACAAGGAATAACAGGTTAAAACTTAAACAGGGGAAGTTTAGATTGGATATAAGGAGGAAATTCTTTCCTGTTAGGGTGGTGAGGCACTGGAATAGGTTGCCCAGGGAGGTTGTGAATGCTCCATCCCTGGCAGTGTTCAAGACCAGGCTGGACGAGGCCTTGGGTGATACGGTTTAGTGTGAGGTGTCCCTGTCCATGGCAGGGGGGTTGGAACTTGATGATCTTAAGGTCCTTTCCAACACTGACTATTCTATGATCCTATGAAAGTGTTTACAGGATTGGCAGCTAATTTTCTCCTTACATTAAAAATAAAAATAAATAAACCAGACTCAGGTTTTAATCACCTCACGTTCGCTATTACATAAATCAGAAACTCCCTCCTCTGCAGTACTGGTGCTTTGAAGCTGCACACTATCATGGACTGTCTCTCTGAAGGAACATGATATGCTGTCAGAGTAAATCTCAGGCTAAGAGCTCTCCAACAGCCTTTCACTTCCTCACTGCAGAGTAATTTGTTTTGTCCATCTTTTCCCAGACTTTAAAGAAGTCCTCCTATGAAAGGATGAGGGTAAATCTTTTTCATCATACAAACAGAGCAGAACAATAACATCTTTTCTGTTTGTGTGTACATCTATGGGCAAGCAAACAAACTAGTCATCGCAACCTGATCTGTAATGCAGTACGTTTCTTGCAAACTCAGATGAAAGTGCAGGGCTCCATAAGATTATACTCAGTACATGATAGAATTAATTCTAATTCAAGTCACTTTCTAGACTCTCTGCTTGCAAGCCCACTTTCTGACTTATGTGTTCATAATAAGAGAGAGAGTATACACACACAAGAGTATGTGGCCTGCAGATACATATCCTGCAGATATAAACAGATTCAAACATCAACAGTATTTTAAAACAGCTCAACTGAAGAAGTTTCTTTTAGGATATTAGAAGCAAAAGCAAAAGCATTACATCTTTCTCTATTATTTGTTTTTTTCAAACACTTGAAAGTGGTTTCAAAATTATGTCTTTTTAAATTTATATGTGAAAACCTCTAACAAATGGTCTTCATAAAGGAAAAGGAACAAAGCCATGTGTAAGTAGAGTAAATCCCAACAGAAGTAATGAATGAAAAAGTACACCCACAAGACACTCTTTTCCTTATTTGGAAACAGACACTAACGCTCTTGCTTAAAAGACAATCTTGCTACCATCTTTTTACAACTACAATATAATCATTGCGTAATCATTTTTCATAGTTGACTCAATGTCTTATCTCAAGTAGAGAGGTGCTGAGAGCTTGTCTAAAATAAGCTAAGACAACATAAAAGACTGTGCAAGATGCCTGTTGCTGGAAGTATGAAAGGAGTAGAATTTCAATGATCCATGAAGCATTTGCTAGAGTATACTTACCATCCACAAGATGATGGGCAACATCAATTTTGTATTCAGCACTGAACTATTTTTAAAGGCTGCTACTTGCCAGGGATAAAAGCAGGCTTTTAAGTCCCATATGTTTGCTTTTTTCCCTTAGAAATACTATGGATGTAACATATCCTCATTCAAAGGAGATACAAATGTAGATACAGATATTCAGCATATAGAAATAGCTTTCTTAACATGCATTTTCAAATCTTCCTTTTTGAAAAAAGGCAAAGACTTATGGCTAACATTTACATGCTTACTGTATTCTGCAGCAGTCTTTAATAATTTACAGATGTCTATCCTTGTCAGGAAATTAAGTCTCTTAGGCAGTGTTCATTCAACTGCCTGGGACATGCCTCTTCACAGCAGTTCAAACTCTACAGTCAAGATTTCCCAAAGTCTCAAAATGTGGGAAGCATGTGGAAGACAAGGAGGCGCAACATCTGGATTTGCCCCCAGATGGGGAAACAGACCAACTGATGGTGCATTTGTTAAAGGATGCTGTATGAAACCTTGGACAACAAATGAGGCCACCTCCAGTACATTAACAGTGAAACACTTCTGAAAGCCTCAGGTTCCTTAGAGCCTCTTTGTTTCAGGAATATCTTACACTTACACAGTACCATTTAGCCAGAAACCCAACAGAGCCAAAAAACACGTTTCAGGCTTAAGGTGGCAGATGAGATCATTCCACCCACCATGGAAACACAACCATCTGGTATAACAACATACATGATTACAAAATAATTGGACAAATGAAGAAGCAAATTATACGCCTACTCTAAAATTAAAACTACTTTTATATAAATAAAGTTGCTTGTATAGATAATGCAATTCCCAAAACATAAGGCACAGAAGTCAAAGGGACACTGCCAGAAGAATTATCTTAACTCTATCATTTTCATCTTGGTTAAACTGAAATAGCAACAAATTCAACACTTTTGAAAATTCTCATTATTTGGTGAGCTTTTCAGCATGATCACTGCTAGCTTTTTAATTTTCACTCAATTTCAACCACCAAAAAAAGAAAACCACCTATTTTTATTTTTTGGCTTCTATTAAAAAAAAAAACAAACCCACAATATGAATTGTCTGCATGACAAGTTTTGGATGAAGATTCCTAATGACAGAACAGCACCTATCTTTTATTGCTTATTGAAAAAACTACCTACCAGATACAAAATGGCTCGCATAGCAGGATCTTCTAAGTGACCTGACTTTTACATGAAGACATTTTCTGGGGCTATGCATGTACATTTATTAAGCACTAAGTCAGCAGAGATGGAAACATGCCAGCTGCACGAATACCACTTCACATAGCACCTGCTGCAAAGTGCTCTCTAGAGCTCTGCTGAGTAAGTGACATGATGCAATCTTGCAGAGTTTAGGAAATATCACAGGATGAAAGAGTAAAGAGCTATATCTTTACTCTGAGTATGTATTCAAAAATTACCTCAGTCAACCAAATTCTGAGACAGCTTATTAGCTTATACAAAGCTACATATACTCATGAACTCATGGATGCTACTTCTGAGTGGCAGCAAGTCAACTTCCAAAAACTAATTGCGTAATTTCATTGCCAAATCCCCACAAAACTCCCAGTCATTGTATATCCTAAACAGTAGCTTTAAGAAACTTAAAGATGTTTAAAGGGATGTTCTGCCTTTCATGACACTTAAAAACTTTACATTCACTGTTAAAAATATGGTCATTTATCCATTTCAAAACCATCACAATCCCATGGTGGGTGGACTTCGTAAGCAATCGAAGAGAATTGGTTCCATCTAGTGGCTGATCAGAGTTAAAGGCATTCAGAGAATTTTCATGTTTCGTGCCATTCCAATTTGTGGCCCCAGTGCGAAGAATGATACTAGCACCAAACACTACACTTCACAACCTAATACAAAAAATCTGACAGCACTGGGATTGTGTAAAATTGTTCTAAACAAAAAAATGAGCTAAAAAATGACACACAGTTTTTATTGTAGCATTTCAGTGCCATAAGAATATCTTGCTAAATAGTGAAGCTGAGACTCTCCCTACAGAATGTTATTTGCTCACATGCCTTTCATGTTTTGTACTCTACTAATTAGAGATTAAGGTATCTGTCTGAGGTACTTGCAGGACTCTATGCACTCTGGATCCTTGCAGACTTTAGTGAGAATCTGTTGTTAAAAATACCCATAGGAAGTGTAGTTGTGCTTCTATCTCCACAGTGGAGAGAACTTCTACTGAAAAAGTGACTTAGCCTCTACAATGATAGCTCCTCTAGATACCAATCTTCTGTCTAACCCACCAAACCATCTTTATCTCTGCTGTGCCAAACACTCCACCCTCATTTCTCTCCCTCTTCTGCTGCTGGACTATTAACAATATGAAATTTGTGAAAACAAACAGCAATGAAAATTTTGAGCGTGGAAAGAGCACTTTAACAACCCACTATACAATACTAAGTCAACCATGCTGTTTCACTTGAGCCTCTCAGACCCAGTAGGTGCTTTTATAAATACATAAAATAAATGGCAGGACTTACCTGTGATTTGTGTTGTTATGGAAACAAGCAATGAAAAATTCAAAGCTGCCATGGAAATATTAACAGAGTAATTGGTGCCTGGCTGCAAATCAAAACAAACTTCTGGAGCCTGCTTGTGTGTAGTAAGGTCAAAGATCATTTCATGAAAGAACTCTTTCTGATACCAACGCTGGCCTTGCACATGAAACTGTAACGAAACAATCACAGCATGGAAATTCCAATGTTTAAAAAAAAAAAAATCACTTGCATTCAGTCATGTCATGCTCTAAATTAGAAGAAAGAGCAGAAAAACACACCACTGCATAGAGACTGCAAAAAATGTTGGCACTGACAGTTACTCAAATTCAAATGCTTCCTAAATTTGATAGGAATTGCAGTCCCTCTTGACCATCTCTGACATTGTCCTAGTTCTTTCATTTCTTCTCCTCCTAGTCTAGAGTCTTTTTTATTATAATGTGGTTTCCTCTAAGTCTTGATTTCCTGCTAACATGCAGGCTTCCAGTAATAGTGTATTTTCACTACTGTACACCCAAATGGTGAAAAGTTACAGAAGTAACCTCACATGAACACCTTGCCTGACCCTAACAACAAGTCAAAATCAAGTCATTCTGACCTATGTCAAAATGCTAAATACCCTCTCCAGGATCTGCTTACAGACAGCTCTGTTTCCAGGCAAACTTACAGACATGGGGTTGTTGTGTTTTTTTTTTTGTTTCAGTTGGATTTTGTGTGTATTTGTTGTTGATGTTCCAAATTATCATGAAATTATTAAGACCTCTCGTGACCATTACTGTTAATGAAAACTAAAATGCCTGCTGTATTTTAATAATGTGTTAATTTTCCTCTAAATAGATCTTGTGCTTCTAGATTATCTCTGAGCACCTCAGCACAGATATCTGAGACAACAGCAGATGGTCAAGAGTCCTGTCAGAGACAGCTCATGTAGAAATGCCCTCCTGGGATGAGAGAAGATTGAAGACTTGTCACCAGGCAGTGGACTGTCTTTGTGGAACTGGAATAAAGCTGTCTGAGCCCTGAACATGACAAAGCTGAAAGTACACATAGGAAGGGCAAAATAGAGTAGAACGGGGAAAAAATTAAACAAGAAATAGGAGAGTACAAAAGAGGATAGTGGCTGCTTTCTTTGCTGAAGGTTGCTGTGCAAGCTTACTCCCTGAGGTTTTATGAGCTGTTATTAGAATGAGGAACACTGCTAGCAGTGAGTGTCTGAATTTTTTTTCACATAGGTGATCGCTACAATTGTTTTCTAGATTCAAAATACACTTACCGAATATCTGTCTTCCACATCAGTTCCCCTGACATTTCTCTGCCATTTCAAGCAGGTATCATTAAAAATTAGTACATTATTGAAAGCTTCCTTTACTGTAAAGACAATAAAAAATGGGAACAATTTATTACAAAAACTTCACCTCTTCAACTTAATTGAATACGAGCAGCTGAAACTAAACAACAAAAAAAAACAACAAACAAACAACAAAACGGGGTAGGGGGGCTATTTTAATTCTGTTCTGAGAAGGAGGTAGAACCTTTTTGAATGAACAAACACAGCAAATAAAGCACAAACATTTTCCAGGGAAAATGGCTTTTGGAAAAGCCAAGCATGCTGTTCAGGAAATCAAGGTATGACTTATTTGTCCAGACTTAGGGAGGTTAAAATGACAGAATGTTCCAGGGGTTCGGACCTTCTGATGCAAGTAAAGTTATCATAGAACAATTTGACACATTTCTCAAGGTCTGTTCATCAGAATTAATATGTCAGACAGCAAGATTAAAGTTTCCATGACCAAAATGCTACAGAAACCTGCTATTAGAACATGTTTTCTCTACAATTACTGGAAAATTGCCAGAACACTGCTCATCACTGCTAAACATAGGAACATTATCTATAATGCCCACATTTAGATTAGTATCACACAGCTCAGCAACAGCAAATCCCCCCATAGGCAGAGAATAGGTTTTCAAGACAAGGAAGAGAAACCAGTAAGCATTGTACCACGGACTGAAATTCCAGCATGTAGCCAGGAATGCCACTGCACCAATCATGCCTGAGCTGGAAGACAAATCCTGAAGAAGTGAATTTGCCAAACCTTTCTGAAGGGCACTTACTGCCACTGCTATGTTTGCTCACAGATTCAATGGCCACAGTGTGCAGAAAAACCTCTTGCAGGAAAATAAAATGCTGCTGATGGCTATGTGAGTGTAGCCAGCATAAAGAATGCGATCGTCTAGGAGACAGCCTGTTATCCTGTCTGCTAGACTCAAAACAGTCAATTCTGCAGCACAGTAAATTCTTCTATAAGCACAGAGAATAGAAAACACAACCTACCCTTTGTTTGAACTGCTAATATAACTGAGACAGGGATGTCTGTGGAAGAAATTGTAGTAATATTCACCACGTAGTTACTGCCAGAGTCGAGATCTAAACACACCTTTGGATTATCTTCATTTGTCGTGATGTTAAATATCACATCTTCTGAGAACATCTTCTCATCCCATCTCTGGCCCAGTATGTGAAACTATTGAAGGATTAACAAAAACGATGGTACAAGTGGTTGTGGCTTTCCAAAATTCAGAATACTAGTTCAATTAAGCCTTGAGAACCTAGGATTACATCCGATTTAGAGTATCAGCTCAATTAAAAAAAAAAACCAAAAAAAAAAAAAGCTTGTGATTAACTGTTTTGGTACAACAAGATGGCTTAATAAATTAATCCTTAACTCATCTAGTTGAGCTCAAGGCAGTCCAGGTCCAGACTGTGTTCTGGACTTTACTGCATGCATCCTATGCCTACCTACATGCAAACTAATACTTGTTTGTACTAGTAAGTTTGTACTACCTAAAAACTGATACGCAGTTTTCACTATTGTGAAGCATCTTGCAGATAGCCGAATTCAGGAAAAAGCATGTGCACAGAGCACATTACATCAGAGATACACAGCTTGCCAGTTGCCACTGGTATATGAAAAGCTCTACTTTTGAACCATTAGGTCAATTGGGAATTTGGCTTTTCCATCTCAGCAGTCCCTCATAAAGGCACAGAAACTAAAAATAAATTTTAACACAGGAAGAGAAAGACAGATTGTTTTCCAAAATTATTACTCAACCTTAGTATTTTCCCTATCCTGGAAATCCTTTTTCTTTTGCCCCCTACTTGTACATTTAAAAAAAAAAACAAAAAACAGAACAAAACTAAACTAACAAAAAGCCCACACCAAAACTACAAACAAACAAACAAACAAAGCCCCCAAAACAACACACAAAAAAACCCCACCAGAAAAACAAAAAAACCAACCCAACCTTTCTTGGGATCTTGTCATTCTCAAAACATACTAATTCTTATGTTGTACTGGCTTTTGGTAACAATGATTGAACTATTTGTTTCTGAGAATTTATACCTTAACTTTTATTCTTATGTTTATAAATGGGGTAAAAAATAGTTACCAAGGTTGTTTCCTATTTCCATGGAAAACAGTTCCAAAACGTCCAAATAAAAGATAGTTGAACCTCATGAGCAAAGTATGGTATTTCAGTATACCCTGCATTTCTAACAACTTACATCCAGTATCTGCAAGTGATAGATACACTGTTTACTTGAAATGTTTGCATCACAGAGGGGGACAGAGCCCAAGTTTTGCAATGTTTTCTATGTCAATGTGACCTTGAGCTCTACAACAGAATTTCGCTAAAACCAAGTTGTGCTGAAACACTTCTTAGATACTTTCAAGAAGATATTTAGGTGATTTACTTTTGAGTTTTTCACCTAACTTTAGAATAGCTACTTGTTTCTTTCCTAACACTTCTAGGTTTCTATGGAAGAGCAAGAGAAACAATTAAAGAAAGCCACAAAACTAATCTCCACTGCTGCCTCACCAGAATTAACCAGGACAAAGCTACTCCCAAACTCAAATACTGCCCCACTTACTGTGTATGTTTTCTGCACTCCTAGTCTTCCAGTTTTCCTTTCCCACTTCACACACGTTTCATTGAATATGGACAAATTACTGAATAATTCCTCCTCTGTGAGCAAAAACATGAACATGGAATGAAAAGTTATTTCTCATGCAAATCTTAACATGTTTGGAGCAATTGTTTATTTCTTTTTCTCTGTTTGGGGGAGGAGGGAAATTGTTGGTTTGTTTTAGTGGGGGTCTTTTTTCACGCTTGAAAAAAAAAAAATGACGCAGACAGAAGGCAGGTAGCAATTTTTACCTTAAGTGTGTCAGCTGCTAAAATTAAAATACAAGGCTAACTGAAGAAGTATGTTCCAAACAAATGACTGCAAAGTCCTTAAACACAGAATGAGCATTAAGTAAACTACCGACCAGTAAAAACAAAATATTTTGCTAGGCTTGCATTTTAGTAGAACATTTCAATCCTAATGACTTTGAAGAGGACATTAAAACTACATTACAATTTCCTCTTAGCAAAGGAATAAGCTCATTAACTCTATCAGACCACTAATATGTTCTGTTATATAAAAGCATACATATACAACAGTGCTGCTTCTTGCACAAGGATTTTCAGCATATGCTGAAGACTAGAATCTTTCATACCACGTGACCAATGCAGACAAAATAGTCAATGAGAAAACACATTTTGCTCTGCTTCATACTTTCCTCCTAGGCATAATACACTGAACTTGCACCACATCCAGGTATTCCAACAGTTCTGGCTGATGTTGCTTATGACAGCATTACACCACCTGAAATGAAGAACAATAAACACCCCACTTCCACTACTGCCACCCATTCTGTATTCTCCTTGAACCTGAGTGCCAGAGACTGGATCTCTTGATATGCAACGATCTGTCTTCTAAAGAATGAACCACTCACAAGTCAACTTGAAGACTTTGTAGACCACTGGATCTCATGGATTAAAAGGCTCATTAAACAGCAAATAAAAAAAGTAGTGTAGATTTAAAAGAGCTGTCTAAGAAAAAGAGCCTGCCTATAAGCCAACAAACTTAAAAAAAATGCTCTTCTAAATACAACAACCTGCATCAAAGCTATTCAAGAAAGCTTCTATGTAAGATTGGAAAAGAGCTTTTTGTAGCTGAATTAATGTCTTTGGTTCCTTATCTGTTTGGGTTGCTTTTTTAAAAGATGTCAACATTTTTCATTGTTTGATTATAAATAAAATTATACAACATAGTCACAGTGAAATGCTTTTCAGAACAAACGCTAGATTAAAAGAATGAAGCCCACAGAATTAAGCATGTGTGGAGTATAGTTGTAGAAACCAGAGCTACATCCTTCAACAAACCTCTGAAGAGCTGGCTTATGGCTCACAGAAAAAACACAGCCAGGCAGATCAACTCGTATGTTTTTTTCAGGCAATTCTCTCACTGCTGTCATCAGACAGAGCAGTTGCCTTCACATGACAAGGTAATGAAGAATCGCCCCAGAGCTAAGAACAAAGCTTCTTCTGGTCACAATTCAGACTGACAATAAATGTATTTGCTCCTCTTCTTTCTTTCACCAGCCTTCAAACATTCATTCCTTTGCCCTACTACCATATTTTCTTGTTATTTCCAGTACAAGACCAGGGTCATACAAATCTAACCTCATACACACTCCAAGCTAAAACGCCCTTACTAGGTGCTGAAAAAAATTAAGGGATTTTACATGACAGCCTTGGTAGATACTTGAGAAACATTCACTCAATACTTGGGAGTAATGTCCTGCTGTAAAAGCAAGCACAGTTCAGGGCACTCGTTCCTCTGTATGTAAACTTCAATCGCCATTTCACATGGAGCACATGGACAAAACACCGACACTGAAATAAATCAATACATCAATAGTCTCTAAAATTCCTACATACAGGCAGTTCATTCAGAACTAAAGTGTAACTGCTTAAGTATTTTGCAGCACTTTTTTTTATAAAAACCATCATAAACTGTTTTCTAATAATATCTCCCTCTCCACATATTCAAAAAATAGATGCCCCACTCCCTAGACCTGTTGTTACCCCAACGCCAAACTGTGGTTAAATATGGAAATGCTATTGAAACCTTCCTCTTCTAGAAACAGAAGAGATTAATCTGCATGTCCTTCAGAACAAATTTCCACACACATGGCTGTGTGATTAGATGTCTCTAAATGATACTTATTATTATGTTTCACAGTAATGTCTAGAAACTCCATAGTATTAAGACTTCTGTACCAACACAGAGCAAAAAAAGCATGTTCAGCTGTTGTGTTCTTAAATCAGATACATTTTTATTGAGAGACTGGATGGCAAAATTAACTCATTAGAGCACAGCCAGAGAGAGAAGTCTGCATAGCCATGAGATCTGAATAAAAATGCATAACCAGAAAAGTAATCTCTGAGACTGCCCAGCAAGAAAATCAGGCACTTGATTCACGAGTTTATAAAATAACTTTTCAGAACAAACATTAGATAAAAAGAATGAAGTCCACAGAATTAAGCCTGTGTGGAGTAGAGTTGTAGCAACCAGAGATACACCCCTCAACAAACCTGTGTTAATTTACACTCAGAAGAGTTGGCTTATGCCTTACAGAAAAAGCACAGCCAGGTAGATCAACTCATCTGTTCTTTTTTAGGCAGTTTCCTCACTGCTGTCATCAGATGTATTCTTTAAATCAGATACATTTTTATTGAAAGACTGGATGGTAAAAATAACTCATCAGACCACAGCCAGAGGGAGAAGTCTGCATAGCCATGAGATCTGAATCAAAATGCATAACCAGAAAAGTAATCTCTGAGACTGCCCAGCAAGAAAATCAGGCACTTGATTCATGAGTTTATAAACTACTCATGGGGAAAAAAAAAAAAAAAAAGAAAAAGAAAGCAGCAAACAACAAAAAAGTGATTATGGCATGTATTAAGGAAAGAAATCTTACAAAGTGGTCTCCTTGGAAGGAAGAGGGCAGAACTAACAGAATTTTTTCTGTATCTACATCACTTTTTCTGTTATGCCTTCTGAACTTTCAGAAGGGTAAGGCCACCATGCAATTACTATACATCCAAATAATACCTGGCAGACTTTTCCTCAGAAGTTTCCACTCTAAAAGGGGAGGAGTGAAAGAGGATGAAAAGCATGCACAGAGCAAACACTGTAACATTATGGATTTTCTAAGGAGCCTGCTTTCTCTCCCTCTTACTGATCATACACTAGGGATAATCAAATGTACAGTAAGTGTCTGGTTTAATACTAATCCCAATAGATTAAACACAGTACCCAGTAACAGCACAAAAGTATCTCTGAAAGAACTATTTTCGCACCTAAAGGGCCCCAGGTTTTCTGACAGTTTAATTCTACTGTGAAATCTAACAGTACCAGGGACTTACAGAGCCTAGGAACTCTCTGTACCTGCCTGGCCTCAGCAGTTGAGTCTTCAACATACCTGATTTTGATCAAAAGCTTTCACTCAGACTCAGAAGTGAGATGGGAGGACTGAAGACCCTCAATTTACCCATACTTCAGCACTAGAAATTTCATCCTTTGATTAAGCGAGAAGACCACTGGATGTCACTGCTGCTCCACAGACCTCTACGTTAACCTCAATCTCCTTCACATGCCAAGGGATAAGGTCCTAGAAACAACATGCAAATGGCTGGAGTCCAGAACAGAAGGCTGTAAAAAGATCCTGGAGGAGTCAAATACTGAAAGGCAAATTTGGGAGAGGGTACAGAGATGCAAATAGCAAGGAAAGACAGGTACTGGGAAAGAGAACACAAATGGGAGAATGCAAAAAGTGAGCATCAAAGGGATTCAGTGACCATTAGAGGACGACAATGTTAAGAAAGTTGATGTTAAGAATACCAAAGAGATTATTTCTAAAAAGGAAAACACAGAGTGGACATCTCAGTCTTCTTTACTTCACCTTTAAAAGCTCTGCTAGGAAGGAGGGGGTCTCTCTATGCATGAGCAAGTGGGAAAATCATAGTAATTACAGCCAGTGCATTAATGCCTGTAGTGTTACGCTCTTCTGCCTTAACCCTGTTCTAGGAAGACCAACCTTAATCCTTCACTTATCCTCTGCAAGTTTAGGTCCTAGTACTCAGTGTTATTATTTGCTGATTCAGAAATAAACCTGAACTCAGAGAGAACTTTATGTTTAAACCTTAACTCAGAGAGAACTTTACGTTTAAACTTTATGTTTAAAACCACATGACTTCTTTCACATATACAATCCACTAGTCCTCAATTGAAAGAGCCCTTAACTACAACTGACCTCAGCTTGAGATACATCTTATCAGTGAAGTATTTCTGGACTTGCATGGGAAGATGGTATTTATCAGAAATCAGATAGAATCAGCTCAAATCTAACATTTCATCTTCTGCAAGTAGCTAAAAGAGCATCCACATGTACAAATTCATTTACTAATCTCTTCCAACCAATCCCCACACATACATGCAATTTAGGAAAAAATAAAATCCAAATATTAGCTTTTTTGTATGTTTTGCCTGTTCAATTCTGTGAAAACTGTGAATGATGCTGCAAATGCCATCTGCTATTAACATGTACCACACTTATGTTCAGATAGAGAAATGAAACAAGTGCAAACAATATTTTAAAGACAACTTCTGTCCAGATTGTTTCAAGGCACCTGTTCCATAGCACACAGGCAAATTCCTCTTGCACAGGAGCTTTTGCAAACACACATGGAGTTTATTTTACAAACACATACCTTCAGTATTCAGACCTTTTAAGGCAGCATGGTAAGTTTTTATGATTTTTTTTTCACATTTTGAGTAACATACTTGCTTCCATTTTAACTAGGATTGTAAAATTTCAGCAGGTTTTCACCTTCAGCCCCAAACTTTACACAGAAGAAATCCACAAAGAAACAGCAAAGCTGCAAGCAGACAGTCATTCAGGAAGGAGCAGACAGACAGCTAACAATTTACTACTTCCTTTGGTCAAAAAATATTACCAGGAGACATCCAGGAGCAGAGTAATTCATGCACTGAACCAGACTGACAAAAAACACAAGAGATGCAATTGTGAGCACACTTACAAAGGAAAGATGTACCAATCAAGGGTGTCAGACTAGCCAGGATTAGATAGACTGGGATTAGAGATGCATATGATTTACTCCCAAATTGAAGGAGAATCCCAAGATTACTATTTGTCATCACAAACTTGGTAATTATTAAACTGGTTTCAAACAAAACAAATAAACAAAAGCCTAAATAAGCCCTGCAAAAAGCTATACTTTTTTATTTGTTTTAACTGTCACTGGTTTCATCACTTTAAGAAGCAGCACCTCCCATAACACAGAATACACCTGTTTTTCCAGGCAATTAAAGAAATTACTAGATTACCAGATGTCTGGATTTAACGTATCAAATTAGGCCTTTACAAGAACTTTACAAGATTCTTTTCACTGATGACTATAATTATCCTAATTGTTTGGTGGGGTTCTTATTCCTACAGGACCATGGGTTTTGAATCAGTGCCAACAGATGCAAGTGACACCTTTTCCATTAAACTCATAACTGTTGACATGAATTACTCACACTACAGCTGGGAATAGAAATTAGGACAGTGACAGTTACTCATTCATTGTTGTGAGGAAATTACTGATACTGCCCCCCCAGAAACATTCCAGCTGCCCTTCTGTATCATCTCTTATTGTACAGGTAATGATTGTACAAGAGAGTAAAAACTGACATCCCACAGAATTCCAGCTAGAGAGGAAATCTGCCATTGGGAACAGGGATAAAGCACTGCAGAAGAAGGGAAAGTGAAAGCAAAGGGAAAACAACTGTGTATTGAAAAGAAAGCAATGAGACCCTCTCAGCTGCATGGAAATTACCTTTGCTGTAGGTCTACAGTTAGATTACACCTAATGGATGAATATGCCCCATTTATTCCAGACTGGATTCAGATTTCACTTTTGATTTTTTCAAGGCCTTTTTAAAATTATTTTCACAGTATTATTTTCCTCTTCTGCAATGTTTTCAAGTGCTTACTGCCCTTACTGCCTAACATGACTTTGGAAGGCTCTTAGAACCTACCAGTAAGATTGCCATGCTGTCATACTCAGCATCAAAGGGAAACAGAGGTCAATTTCCCCTGTTCTCTACAACAGCTGCTTCCCCCTACTTGAGTTTTGGAATGTTTTACTAATAATGTGCGTTACTTTTCTATGCAGGCCAGATTAACTCCCTCCCTCCAGCTGTTTTACATACCCATGGACTTTTTCCACCCATGTGCAATAGTTGCTTCTTTTGCAAGGACAGTGTTTCACTTAACACATCAAAACCACTTTAATGAATGCATTTCTAATAACAGTGAATTGTGGTACTGAAGACTTATTTAAATACTGAAAGTTGTTCTTTAATCCAGACTTGTATTTTCTTCTCCTTGGATAAAAATAAGGCGAACAAACAGAATACTAGCAACCTCCAAAGACAAGAGATGTAGAGGAGTTTTCTAGAGAAAGAGTCTTCAAGGATCAGAATAATGAGCAGCAGCCAACCCAGCCTGTGTGCTTATAGCTGGACTACAGCCAATTGTTACAGAAAAGATAGATGTCATGGTTTAAGATGCAGTGAAAATGCTCTTCCGGACAAGGATATCTCTAGGACTTGGGACTGGGAAATTCAAAAAAGCTTGATGAATCGTAGAAGGGAGGACTCTGCGAACAGGATGAGGAGAGCTGCAGTAGGTGAAGAGAATGTTTCCCTACAAAATATCCCTAACAATTGTCCAATTAACATAGAAAAAGCATCAGACACACTGTTCCCTTTGTGCAGGAACTGACACCTTTGTAACTGAAGAAGATTGGAAAAAGTACCTGGTATTAAGAGCAAGGCAACCTCATAAGCACCTTATTCACCATAATTCATCTTAACTTTCTCTGGATGACCAAGATACAAGTTCTCAAGAACTGTATAGATGTGTGTGTGTGTGTTTACATGCATGCACATACACAGTATACATATATTTCACTTCAGCTTGTTAGGAACAAGCATCAGACAGCCAAGGCACAGATCACCTTTTTTCTGGCCTTCTTACAGCCATAATAAATAGATACATAGACAGCTAGACAGACAGACAGACTGACTGATTGATCGATCTTATGGCCAGAATTCACTCAAAAAGTAAAACATGAGTGGGAAGACTTCATACTTTTCTTTTCTATGAAAAGCAACTCTAAGTCTTGGGTTACCTGATGTCTCATTTCGAGACATCACATCCAGAACAATCTCACTTGGTAAGGTAAGTATTACTAACAAAAAAAGCTCAAGTTAACATTTTCTCCTCTGAAATGCACAATGGGAAAAACTATCTTACTGTGTCAGACTACCTTGCATTCCACCATTTCATGCTACGGTGCTTTATAGTCAGAGCCCTCCTTTGAAGCAAACTGAAACGTTATTCCTATAAGATGATAATTTTTCCACTCTGTAAAAAACTTCTAAGGTTTACCATGAAAACCCACCAGAGGTCAACACAGTAAGTGCCTGAAATAATATCACACCATTTCTGAAAATGAAAATAAAATAAACCATACATTCCTGCTCCACAGGAGAAACAGAAGTTCTTCCAAGACAAGCTATAGAGAATGCCCAGACTCACATGTTGAGCGTACTGCACAGCAGGCATTTAACTGTTGGTATGTTCTCTGCACTTTAGTGTCTTAAGCTTACGTATACAGATCAAGGGCTGGGAAAGGAAGATTGCTATTCAGCTGACTATTGCCAGACTTCACTAATCCAGTCAGCATCTCTCAGTAAAATTAATTTTGTTAAGCAATTTTGAAACATATAAACCAGATACTACTAAATGTACTTGAATACATATATACACATGCTATATACCTCAACAGACAATGCAACAGACAACACAAATAAAGGGCGTTCCATAGCAATCCCTGCCTAAGAAACAAAGAAGTGATTATTTGTCAAAGGGAACACGCTCAGGGGAATTTCTCAACTTCTCTGCTTCTAATGAGATTTCTCAGGCAGCAGGAAGACAAACAGTTTTCCAGCTCTATCCTAAGTTATTTTGGAATGGTACATGATTTTCTTTTATTTTAATAGGAATTACTGATTAATTACACGCACCCTTAAGATTACATACATCTGAAACACATCATTACTGAAACAGAAATGTCGTTTCATTTGAAAGTCATTTTTTTCCTCTAGTAAGTGTAAAAAATGTAGAAATTAAAAAGCTGAAGACCTTGCTGCTAATTTCCTATTCATAATATTTCGTGGTTTGTGTTTTGTTTTTTTTTAAATAGGAGCCTGGACTAGTTAGGCTGCTCTTTAAAGGTTTTTTTTTCCCATTCTCTTTGCCCATAACTCTTTTGATCCAACAGCTAGAGCTGGTGTATACATTTTTGCCTCTGGCAAAGGTCTCGCTGAAATCCCGTGAATGCAGTCTGCAGAAGTCCTCTGCTTAGAAGCCCTTCTAAGCTTCAGAGTGCTCAAGACCAAACTCTCAGCATTACAAAGACTGACACACCTGACCAACTTAGCCACTCTACACAATGCTGGCTTCAAAGCCAATTCATAAAGTACAGCTATGCAAATTGTCTAAATGAAATACGAATTCTGCCCTCTAACAACAGCAGTAACGTTTTTATTAGGGCTCTGTCAAAAGTGAGAGAACTTCTTTTCTGCATGCCCATTTTATTTGATGTCATGTGTTATATTCGCAGTGAATGCTGAAGACATCAAGTGAGGCAAGAGAGGTATCAAGCAGCAAATCTTTGTGTAAAGGCTTTGTCTGTGAAGTTGTAGCAGTCAAAGACACACTTCCAGTCCTTTTGAAAAGCATGTGGCTATAACAAAGCTACATAAACACTGCCATCTGCAAAAGACAACACTGCTACTTAAGAACAAGAGATGGACAGTGATCTATGACCTGTGACATCTCTTTCTAAGGATAGGGAAGAACACTAAGGAGCCCAACAGACATAGTCCAAAACATCTGCTATTTTTTTGCTGTTATTAAAATGTTAGTATATCCTGTTTCCAAGCCCACAGTATGACACCACCTTCATTACAGATCTCCCTTCTCGGAACTCATTCTTTTCTAAGAAAATCCTTCTGGGCTGAAAATTCAGACAACTGGATGCTGGAAAGACATCCTTGAGCAAATTTTACTTAGGACATTATGAGAGAAGGGGGGAAAAAAAAAAAAGAAAGGAGTTTTGAATTCCACTGCCCCTACTTTCATCACAGTGCACTTCACAGTATTAGACCCACAACAAAATATTATTAAATGTCTTCTGCTCATATAGTTCCCCTGGCTTTTAAAGTTCAAGATTCTCAGTGCAGCAGCCTAACTCCAATTCCATTAGCCCCTTTCAATTTGAAATAAAAAGGAAGACAACTAGAGAAAGATCTGTGGCATCTACTAGAAAATGTTGCACAGTTAACATTCTCTTCTGTAACCTTTCCATACAAAAGTACCACCACATGCCCTACATGGTAAACTAGGCAGGGATTTCTTGCCTTCATCCTTCCTCCTGTTCCTACCTTCAGAACAGGAATGTGAAAATATATAAACAGCATACCCCACACCAGCCTCCTACATAATATGTACCTTTGCATACGAATGTAATATTCTCCCACGACTGATCTATTGTGCATTCTGAAAAATTCCTGCCTCCATTAGAATAATATCCTTCTTTACACTGATAGTACACTCTGCTCCTTAGGGTGGTAGAGTTGTCCCAGGTCATTTCTGTATGTGGAATCAGCAAAGGTTTGCCACAGTCTATTTCTGGAACAGAATAAAAGAGGGTAACAAAACCAGAAAATTAAAACAAGTATGGCATATCAAAGTGTTTAAGGAAGAGAGATGAATTGTCCCAACAAGTAACGCTTCACTTGTTTTCACTTCTAGTGACTTCTAGAAGCCAGGCCAGCCCTTTAGAACCCTGAATTTTGTAAGTGGAGAATTTCCAGTAGGGTGGGGCATTCATCCTTCAAGATAAGCCATAAAATAGAACAGTGTCCTGTTTAAAAATGGAGAACAAAGATCTCTAAGAAAATTTTTACTAACACATCTATCATCCTATAACATTCTTTTAGCCCCCACATGCTATTTATTCCTTTATTTTACCTACCATGAGTAACAACAAATCTGAAAAATGACACAAGCAGTAACATGGAAGAACAGCATCAAGAACAGAATCCACTGATCCTTTGCCAGTGGATTTAATTCAAGCATTGGAAAACAGGAGAAGCTGCTACGGACATGAGAAAGAACACCTATGGGGGCATATTTGGGGGGTTAGTCAGACCACTTTAGAGGTAACTAGAAAGCTGGGATAATGCACTTATAAATCAATAAATTTGCTCAACTGTTTCCAAGGCCTTCATAATAAAATGAGGAAACAAAAAAGAATAAAGAGTGAAGAACAAGCAAATGGACAAATATTGTTTAGGGTTCAAATTCCCAAATCCACAGTGAACATGGCACCCCAATAAAAGATTCTGCATCACTTAACTTACAAGAAGTAAACAATGTAAGAATTGAAATCTTACCTTCATTATAGCTTATATGCTGTGCATTTAAAAATGTTTAATAAATAATCGTAAGCAATTCTGAAATTTAACTCAAAAAAGAGGAAAAAAAGACATAAAAACAAATTTTATAATTGTGACATGTACAACCTTTAAAAGTAAACATATGTTTTGCAACAGGTAATACATCCACCGTCATGACTACCTCCCTTTTCATACACCAATGTATGAACATATGCATCTATTATAAAACATCAGAAGAAGCTTTAGAATAATTAATGCACATGCAAAGAGCATGCTTAAATTCTAGGACAGTATGTGATGAGATAAAAAGATTACTGCTGCTTAACTCCAGCTATCTGCCCAAAGCCACCCTCTAATTAGACTGGAAAGCAGAAATGTGTTTCTGTGTAACACAGTGAACCTTCTATTTGGACTGGTGACCCAGAATAAGAATATTAGAGAAGATTCTAAAAGTAGAGAGCGGTTGTAACATACACATTGCACATTCAAAAAAAGTCACTACATTTGATTGCAATAAATGGAAGACTTGACCCTGCTGGATCAAGTTGAAAAGATATTAAGCACCCAGTGAATGGAAAAGTGAAGTTGTGTCAATATAAAAACTGACTAAAGACTAACGATCCTGAGGTCACATTAGTTAAAGTATCAGATCAGAGTAAAAATAGAGTGAAAATATTGTTGGGCAAAATAACTCACTTTTAAATGTACCTTTGAGCTTCTTCTCATCAAGAAACTTGTTGGGCTACATTCTTCTAGATCATAGTAACATGAAGGATTTAGGACTCATGTCAAGTAACAATAGCTTGCTTGAGCAATCACAGTTTGCAACTGGAAACTGTCTGAATATGGAATTTTTTAGGGATGATAACTGCTAATAGTGGTTCAATTTCCACGTAGCGGCTTCAACCACAGAGTAGATACTGAGCTAAAAAAAATGGCAGCAATTTAGGATAGATTTTCATCTCATGTTAATCCTGATGTCTGACATGCACTGGGATTTAGTCCCTAGAATGGTAACTTTTAACAATTTATTGCAACCTCATTAGCAACACAGGTTAAAAAAAAAAACAAACAACAAACATACTGTTTAATATGTGGCTTCTGTTTTGTGACTGAACATGCCAGAAGCTGTCTTCTGACTGTCCAAAGAGGATGTCTCTAACTGACAACTGCTATTTATTTTGGTGTCTGAAACAGTATCTATGCTAAGTAAATCTGAAGGCAGATTTGATTTACCTTTGCACACCAGATCAGTACCATCCCACTGTCCTTTGGCATTGCAGACTGCAGTCTGATTGCCACTTGCCATAAAGTAACCATGAACACAATTGTAAGTAACTTCACTTCCATATGTAGTCCCACTTACAGATGCTGGATGTGCATTTAAAACAGAGGGTGGAATCCCACAATCCACACCTAGAAAGAGGAAGAAAGAGGAAGATAAACTTAATTCAAGCAGCAGAAGCAGTGACAGCTGCACTCCTGTATTTCTTTCATTGTTACCAACTAACCCTGTTCTGTGTTAATCTAACACTCCCCAGATGCCCTCTGTGACATCCCCACTGTGACCAAGAGTGCTGTAGCTACTCCTAGCTACTCCAGAGCTGCTTCCATATAAAATAACTTCCTTCTGCTTTTGTCTCAGAATGGCATGCTAAATCTGTGACTCTCTCCTCAGCTTAGCTGCTAGTATATTGAAAACGTCTTTTTTAAGAACAAGAAGTTAGGATTCTCCTGCTTTTACAAACCTGATTACAGATGCCAAGCTGGTTCTATACCATTTGCAGTGAACAACAGTCAGAGGGAGGGAGTTGAGCAGAAACTGCCTTTAGGATGACAAAATTTTTAAAAGTGCACAAGGACTGGAGAAATGCAAAACCACACAAGTTTACAACATACAACATAAAAGCTTCCTGTTAAACCAAAAGTCTACATCTGTTCAAAATGTGTTGTAATAGTTGCTCTACCCACAAACATGCAGAGCTGTCATTTACAAGTGCCTAAAACAAAGAAGTCAAGTAGCACAAAAAAGCAGCTTGTTTGATATGCTATCCATTTTCTAAGGTAAGCCACCATCTAAAACGCTTTCATGTCAAACTTGAATGTGAGGGCTGTGTCATGTTAACCACCTCTTCACATACATCACACCTTCCCATTAAGCTATCTGACTTACCATCTCAAAACAATTCCTTTATTAATATTCAAAGAAAGCTATAACCTTCAAAGACAGAGTATAGCCATACACTTGTATTTAAACAAAAAAAGAGGATCTGCTCCATTTACAGTACCCTGATGTTAGGTCACACATCTTACCAAGTCTGACCTACCTTCAATGGCCAGTTTCATCATGACTACATAAAATAAAGTCCTAAATTACCATACGAAGGAAGACAAAAGACACACTTACTGATTTTCGAAAAAAGGATGACGTTACACTTGGCCAGGAGAAAAATAAGTGATAAAGACTTACCAGGGACATTCTCAGAGTTTAAAGAATTATTTAAAGGTGCCTTTACTAATATTTTAAAATAAATAAATAAATAAATATTCAGACTTGCTAGTTTTACGAAAAGAGAAGTCCTAACTGAAATCCAGGAAAAGAGCTTGCAACACAAATGAGAAATAAGCTTGTCACTTCCCACAGACACACATTAAAACATTACATTTCTATCCTCTCTCAAAGAAAACACACAAACAAAAGAATCATGAAAGAATGAGAAACCAAGAGGGCTTTTGTATCTTGAGGAAAGGAAGAAGGAACTCTCCCCACTAAGTGATGATTTTCAGGATGACATTCTGCCCTATAGAACTGTTATACACTGCGTAACTTCCATTAGCTAGCACTTCCAAGTGTCATTTAACTAATATACAGAGTTAGTAACTCCTCACAGGAACATAAAATTCTGCACATGTAAGGAGCAAATATTTCAACAAAATGGGCAGTTAGAACACCAAAGCAAGTGGAAGTTTTAAAGACACTCTCAGGAATCTTAACACTTCAGAGATGTAAAACCAATTGCTCATGCACAAATGCTCTTAAAATCATGAAGGCTACCCAGGGATGAAAGGTGGTATGATGCCTCTCTTTTGTATCTACAGCCAACCTTCTGGAAAAACTTCATAAGCTGTCATAAAAATTGATCATTTCATGAGAGGTCACTAATGCCTTCTAACTCACTGTCTTGTTCCCTGAAAGAAAAGGCTACAGAACAGAAGTCAACTTGTTTTCTACGCCTTGGTTCACAGGTAGAAGGACACACTGCAGTGTCTGTAAAAGTGGAAGGACCAGTAACAAAAATGTCACTCACTAATAGGAAGAGGTAACACCGTTTTATAACCTGTCCTTTTCTTTCTTTTTCTTTTCTTTTTTTTTTTTTGCAAATAGCGAGATCTTGTGAAATAATTATTCTTTGGACCAAGGAAACAGTCTACTATCTTTCACGAACACACTTCCCCATGCATAAACCAGCTTAATGAAGAATTTAAGAACGACTTAAGACTCTTTTCACCTTTACAGCTTAAAGTGGCAGGTTCCCAAGTTTCATTTGCAGTGCAATATGAGAACTTCCCCTCGTTGCTGTAAAACCCTTCTTTACATTCATAATGAACCGCACTTCCTGGTAGCAAGCTGTAGTTCCCCACAACGTAGCCATGCTTCATTTTAGGAGGGGAACCACATCCAATTTCTGCAAAGAGACTGTGTTAGAAGATCACACAGTATGAAAATCACAACACATGACCATTTTAAAATGAGCTGAATTGGATGGTCACGTCATAAAATATGCCCCATCAGATGAATCTGAGAGGTTGCCAAAGAGGTACAAGATTAGAGCAGAAAACTTTTACTGGCCACAGCTGGAGAAACACAGTGATCCGTGTATTCAGCTACACCTTTACTAACGTACAGCTGGTGTCATTCACAACACCAAAGAGGAGACACTACAGTCAGACAGTGCTCTGTGTGTGCTACTCTCACTACAGCAATGGATAAATAATCCTTCAACACCAGATGAAAATTTAAGGCCCCAATGTGGAGTTTCATTTCCCTGTGCCTGGGAAAAGCGAAGCACTGCACACAGGCTGAAATTAAACAGTCTGCCCCTCAATTGATCCACTTCACTGAACCAGCCTGCATAAAAAAAAGCTACATTCCTCTCTGTGACAGGGCTTCCTTGTCCAATTCCGCAAGCAACACAGTCAGCACTTCTTTACCACAGCATGTGGAGGGGGAAGTTGGTGAGATAAGCAGGGCTGTCAGCACCTTTGCCAAAATTAAGTGGAACAGTCCAGCTGGAAAAACTGGACAAGCTACAGACAGTGAGCTTTACTGATGGTTCTTACAATAATTCAGAAATGAGAGCTGGATACAACAGAAGCATGTGAGCCTGGGATGCCCAGCTTCATTAAATACTGTGACAGCTACAGCTTTCACTGCTAGCACTTTGCATCTATGAAAACCTATACTAGAGAGGAAAGGAGAAAGTTTCAAAATAATTTTTTTGTTGTTGTTATGGCAAGATAAACAGAAAGGCTTATTTATGCAGTTGGCAGAATACATAACAAATAGTGAAACTGCTATGTTATTGTTACTGTATCCTCTCTTCGCTTTCCCTTCATGCAGGGTGGTTTTATAAACCAGTGGATTATAATGCAGTGTGGTTTTATAAACCAGTGGATTATACCATACTTCCTTACTATTCAGAAACTAACTACATCACCTTCATGGCATTATTAAGCCTCCTTGACCCTGCAGATCTGATCAACTTCTGAGAGCCTGTAGAAATCATATCTGCTGTCAACTCTACCATTCAGACATCATTAGAACAAACTGAACCCAGGAAGAAAGAAAATCATACAGCAAGCAAAACCCGCAGAGGGCTTCCGCTCTGCAGACTTAAAAGCACAGGTCAGAGCAGGTATTACTATATCACAGAAGATCTGATTTTATCTGCTAGTAAAAACAGCATCCAGAGACTCTCACCTCTGCATGAAACTGTATTCCCATCTGGATGAAAAGAATGCTCTCCATTTTCTAATTTATAACCATCATTGCAGTAACACTTGTAGCTTCCTTCAGTATTCACACATTTTGCATTGTGACCACACAGCCCAGACTCCTCACATTCATCTATATCTAAAAATTCAGAGAAAAATATATGCACTGCATAATAGGGTTTGTTTTTTTTTTTAATTAATTAATGTAGGACCCAAGCTTAAACAAATACAGTAATCTGTGAAGGGTTCTATGTAGCTTCTGATGGCGTATTATTACCTAGCATTCCAGCATCTGGAAGGAGAAGACTCTCAATTTTGTAGCTAGCTATCTTTCAATTTTTTTTTTCCTGTTTGACGTGACAAATATTTTCTAATGTCCTGCTACAACAATCCCAGAAAAATCCCATATCTGCAAATATCTTAATCAGTTACAACAGTTCATTACTGTAACACAGAACTGGCTAATATTCTGCTCTAAACACAAATATGGCATTCTGGGGGAAAGATAAGTATCATCTTATTTTCTTTAACTTAGTTTCTTTTGGAAACATTCTTGCTTGAATGTGACTGCAAAGCAATGATTTGTAACACAGAAAAGAATGCAAAATAGAACTGATTCACAGCTGCTAGAACCTAATTGTCAAGTAAGTGTTGGCAGAACAGAAAGTGCTGTGATACAGTTTTAAAAAGTAAATTCCAAAGTGACAGGAAAAAAGATCTGTGTTGTAATAGTTTTGGATTCCTGGTGCTCAAGACTCTGTGATGTCTACCTGTACAGTTTGTGCCATCATTAGGGATAAATGTCTTGTTGTTGTTGGAGGCTCGGTATCCATCAAGGCAAACACAGTAAAAGCTTCCGTGTGTATTATGACACAGTGTATGATTTCCACAGATCTTGCTGGCTCCAATCTGGCATTCATCTTTATCTGTCAGCACATTTAAAACACATCAGACAGAGATTAAGAAAAGTAAGGTATCCTCCCCTCCTCACTCATTCTTGGGTAAACAAACTTCCCCTTACCGTTTTTCCAAGTTATTTGTGATGTAAACACTGCTAGTAAGCTAGACCATTTGAACCAACAGAGGCTGCCGTCCCTAAGTGGAACAGATGTGAATAAAGTTTCATGACACAGCTTAAGCTGATCTAAGAGCTGTTGAAACCAGAAAGCCGTGTCCTTTGCTTCTGCTTTTCCTTACATAATGCACTGTCTGCAGCACCTGATGGAGCTTGTGCTGATCTTACCAACTCACTCAACTGGCAGAGAATTAACATGGCAAAATATGCAGCTTGTCATCTTCCACAATAATGACATAAATGAACTCTGTGCAGGGCCCAAGAGGGTGCCACTGCTTGTGGAAGAGATTAGAGGTGGAGGACCTTTCCCTTAAAGGGGTAAACTATTACATACACTCAGACACAATGTTTGACATCACCCTTTAATTCACATATTGATTTCTCACGTACAAGATAGTATTAAAAGGACACCATCAGCTACAGTAATAAAAAAACGCTAAACACCACTTTCCATGTAACAAGACATCCGCCCTTAAGAAATGTGCATATATGCACACTGTTATTAAGAACATTCAACTGATTAATTTTCAGTTAGCCAGTAATCTGAGATAACTGGAAAAATGAGCAAAAGATGTGCTTACAATTTTAATTGTAAGTTTTATTGTCTAGCTTTCAGCTCAACGATGCATAGGTTGAAAAGAATAATAAACTGAAGGCCACCATACTGATTTTTTTTTTCCTGAAGCTAGGATAAAAAATAATAAACCATTCCAATACAGATTTTAAAAGTAATTGATACAACCCTACATTTATCAAGACAAAATTAATTAAAATCCTTCACTATATAGCAGAAACTGAATAAAACAGTTAAGCATTTGTATCCAGTACAGCTCATGGTTAGCTGATGGAAAAAAAGTAAAAAAGTCAAAAGCATCCACACAAATTCTGCCAGGAAATGATAAAGCTTTTACTACACTTTGAACAATTCAGTAATATTACTTGAGAAAAAAACATTTTAGGAATGTACACGGTTTCTTGCCATTTTAAAAAATGGCAGCCTACCTTGACAATGGGTTCTTCCATTGCCTACAAATCCATAGTTACAGATGCAGACACTTTTTCCTTCAATTTGATGACATGTAGCATGAACGTGGCAAGTTGCACAGACATCTGGAACTGATCTCTTTACAACTGCTTTAAGAACAAAAAGACAAAATTACTTTTTAAATTATTTTTTTAACAGACTAACTGGTAACTGAAACAGAATTTAAACTGGAGATACAACCCAGGTTAAAACACATAGAATAAAATCCTATCTCCCCACATCTCTTTTTCAAACTTGCAGGAAAACCACAGCCATAGTATTCAAAGACAAAAAAAATAAAAGAAAGGATTAAACAAAATAACTACACTGAACATTTTTTTTCATCTATCCTTTTACAATAAGCAAACCAGCTTGTCACTAAAGCCTGTGAGACATTTAATAAATAGTTCTATCCAATATTATCAAATCTTTTCTCCATATTAATTTTATTTCCCATTTTTGATTTCTGTTTCTTCATTTATTCTATTATTTTGTTTCTATTATTTACACACAGACATTTGGGCTATTTATCAATCTATTTGTAACCTGTATCATCAACATGTATATGGTAAAAATGCTATTCGTAAAACCAGTGTTGAGAATGCTGCCAGGAGGAAAATGACTTATATAGAAACATTGTTTTAGAAATTAATTTATATTAGAAGTAGTTTACAGCATATGACACACAACCTAATTTACCGCAATTTGATACAGCTATAAATATACACGAAACTAGAACAAAATGTGAACTTACTGCCTAATTTGTATTCATACTTTCAGCGTACTGTTTGCATTTCCCTCCATTTTCTGAAAGCTCTTTTTGTTATCTTCACACATGCACTGGCTTTCCAAATGATAAACCTCAGAACAGACAGCTTGAATGTAGACAAAACATGCATATGCTTACACCCTTTGTATATTTTTTAAGAAATAACAGTACACAAGCTGATGTTGTCTCATGATGCTGAGCACAACAATACAGAATTCTTTTACTCTTCTAAGCTCAGATTAATAAAGAGGGTGAGGTTTTGATAGAATACAAATCTCCCTGTGCATATGACCAATTTTTGCCTGTCTTCACATGGTGTTTAAACACATAACCATAACTGGAAGGAGAAGGCCCATGAACACTCTAGCCAGCTTCTTTTACAGGCAAAATTTATCAGTGTGGTAACACTGCCCCTCTGCATGCAGTGTCCCGGCTCTCCTCACAGCACGTTTCTGAGTGCGTTAAGGCTCGCGGGAAGCATCACAGATTCCCCCTCCTAACTCTCCATGTTTTTATATACTTATGTGTGTGCACCTAGTAAGCACAGACAATACAACCCGTCAGCATGCCACAGCATTCCACGTAATCATAAAACTAAATTTAAAAACAGCGAACGGAACAATTTTCTCACGATGCCTCAATCTTCCGATAAGCCATGTGAGTGTCCTCCTCAGATTGCTGCTCCAGAAGATAAAACACCCCCCTCTCCACCCCCTCAGCCCCCCCCCCCCCCCCCCCCCCCCCCCCCCCGCTGCTACGTATCAAACTTGGCGACTCCTCAGAAACACGCCATTTTCCACCCCGGCACCAAAGCCACCTCACGGGTCCAGCCCAGCCCTCTCGCCCGCGGGCGCATGAGGCATCCCCCCCGCCGCCGCCCCGGTGCCGCTGCCGCCCGGTCTGCCCACCTCCCTTCCGCCGCAACTCCCCTAGCCCATGGCCTCCGTTTCCTTCGCGCCTCGACCGCAGGACACCGCCCTCACGGCCCGAGGTCCCGCCGCAGCCCAGAGCGAACAGAGCCGGGTCGGGGCGGCACTTACCCTTCCGCCGCGCTGCGCACTGCAGCAGTGCCAGCAGCAGCAGGAGCGGCCCCAGGGCCCAACCGGACCCCGGGCTCATGTCCCCGCCGCCGGCTTCACGCCCCACGATGCTGCACGGCCGCGGTGCCTCCGCATCCTCCTCGCGGGTGGAGGGTGGGACGGGAGCCCTAAGGGAGGGCGTCGCGCTGCCTCCCGGTGGGGCGGGGGCACCCCTTATCAACACTGTCTCTGAGCCCTCGCCCCCCCCCCCCCCGGCTTTCCCCTCGATGAGGCCCCTTTCCTACTGCGGCCGAAGAGCCCTTGCCCGCAGAGCCCTGGCACAACCCCTTTCCTTCCCCAGGACACCGCCTCTCCCCGGCCAGGCGAGTGGCAGAGCTGATAAGGGCTGTTGGTGTGTGCAGCAGCGGGCCCTCACCCCGGGAGGGGGAAGAAGCAGAGGGAAGGGCTATTTATGATTCCTGGGAAAGGGGGAAAGGCATCTGGGAGGTTAGCCCTCTTCGTATGTGGCAGCTGTGCTGCTACGGGCCTGGCCGCGGTGGGCTCCTCCTCTCCCGGCAGCATATGGGACTGTGCAGCACCTCCCGGGCCGTGGTGTGGAGGAAAGGTGGCCATCAGCAGGTCCTTGTGCCTACCATCTGGAAGGGCCAGCATTCTGCTACACTACTGCACAGTGCTGCTGGTACCATCTGCACGCTCCCCATGCTACAAATGGATGAAAACCTTGTAAACCACCAGCCGTTGTAACTGAAATGAAGTAACACTTTCTCCTTGTAGGCCTTCACCACAGAAAGTTGGTTTTTAATGAGTACCAGTGACACTGCCTGAAGAGTTTTCTAGAAGAAAGGTGATCCTCCTGAAGCTAACCATCCTCATTCAGGTCTGTGAGCCGCAGTTTTAGAGAGCTGTGTAAACTCGTATTTATCTGCAAATGCAGTTGACCAGTTATCACAGCTCCAGTAGGGGACTGCCAAAGAGATGAATGGGGGAAGCCTAACACAAAGGTAGATTGAGGCATACTTGATACACTCTAAAGAGCTTCCCAACAAGGCTTTGCTCATGTGCTATGTTGGCTTTACATTAATGCCTTTCAATGTTAACACAGTCAGTTCCTCCACCAGCACTGCATTTAAGTGACATAACCTCATCTTACGCTGCATCTGTGGAGTTACGATGACAAAAACTGAACAATCTGTGTCTGATTTTACTGGAAGCAAAACACAGTTTCATAAAACTACCAGTTTTATTGATTTATGTAAGCTTCCCTGTGCCACTGGTTTTTAATTATTGTTCTGCCTACATTTTAAACCAGCTTCTGCTATCCTTATTCACCTCGATCAGGCCACAAAGTGACCTGCATCTTCAGCAGACGCCAGTTACATTGCGATTGACCTTATTTTTGGAACAACAGTCTATAGACGTCAGTACTGCATATTTCTATCTTAAATCACTGAAATTGGAGGCATGCATTCTCAGTGGTGGCAAGTAGTTTACTACAATAAGGAACGACTCAGAGAGGAATTATTCTGCACCACATATTAAAAGTGGTTTAGAGGGTTTTTTTCTCTCTCATAGCAGCCCACCAAGTTGCAGAGCCACTAACAGCTGCAATTTCTGCTGTTCCTTTCATAAAAAAGTAGTGGGAGCAACTGCTTGTAATTATGAACACCTCACACAGCAAACAGGAAAATAATTTTGGCAGCAAGCCTCATTATATTATAAAGAGAGTAAGTTAAAAAATATACTATAAACGTTCTTTAAAGAAAGTAACAAGGAAGTGTATCAGCTGAAGAAAATACAAGGCCCAGAGTGGAACTCCTTGCTTTGTTCCAGTCTAGTATGTATTCAACAGCTGATTAGTTGCTTCTTAAAGACATTCTTCAGAACTGCATAATTAAACTACTCAGAATGGCTCCTTCAAATTACATATATGTTAATTGCATATCTAAATTTAAAGCACAGTCATATGAAGTGTTGAAAGATGTTGAGAGGTCATCTATTCTTTTTCCTTTATGACAATGTAGGCTCTACTTAAATGATTCCTGACATACTTGTCTAACTTGCTGTTTACAGTGGCAGTGATGTGGAATTCACAGCAATCCCAAGCAATCTGTTCAACTACTTTGCTCTCTTTGTAATCTGAAAATGGTAATCTAAGATTCAACTTTCAGTTAAATCAATTTAACGTTAAGTTAAATTAAGTCTCTTTTTTTCAGTTCACAACAGACTCCCAACACCCTTCAAGATCTAGACAAAGGTTTGAATCAGCCACTGAAATGAGTCACAGGTCACTTCTGCTCTGAAGTCACCTGCACAAGTCCTGAGTTCATTCCTTCAGGAAGACAAAGATTTAGGAGGGTAGGACAGGTCAGTGTCCTAGTATGAAAACACAGGATAATGTCCACGTAGATTCTCTGTTCTGGATAGGAAAAGGTTTTGAATCTTTTCACTGTCAAACTTCAAGGACCTAGTTTGTAATTACAATATTTCCTTTGTCCCTATTAGCATTCAGTTTCACTACTCAGAAGACATCTGTACCAGTATTTGCTTCCATTTCTCTTGTGATAAGAAAACAGTTGTTATGGTCAAAGTAATTTAATTCATCCAGACGCACTTGGAAGTTTCCTGTGCAGTTTTTCCTTGCAGCTGTTTAAATGAAGGTAATTGAAAATCAGAAAGGCAAATAGAATTAAACAGCTCCTCAGCCATCTGGATTTGTTCTGTCTCCTTTACAGACAGTGAATGTCACTGTGTCATCTAAATCACGTTCTTTTGCAAGGATATTTGGCATAGATTTCACTACTTACTCTGACACATAAAGGCAAAATATTTTTTACTAATGACTCCTTCATCAAACATATTTTTAAAAATACAGCAAACATCTTCAACCAGAGTGAATAAATGTAATTCATCCTTGTTAACAGATTTCTCAGCTATTCATAATGAAGTTGCATTCTTAAACAGCTTGCTAGCAGGTACTTCTTCCCAGCTGGCAATGAAAAGAGTAACTGCAACTTGATAGAAGGTTCTTCCCATCTGAGTTCTACCTCTCTTGCCTATTTAAAGTGAAACAGATTAATAACTGGTTTCTGGTTATCCTCTTAATTTCCAGAATAAGCAACAGCAATTGTTGAAGCAGAAGTAACAGAAAAATTGGCTGACCCTCTTTAGCTTCTAATGAAAATGCTTCAGTAAATATGGTGCAGAAGAAAGCATTCCATTATAGTGAATTTTGCTACAAAGGAAATGTTACTGCTTGAGTTGTTTGCAGCATTTCTGTACTCTCAGTTGTCTCAACTCCTGACAAATGAAGTCAAATGAAAAAAAGAAATGGGATTTCTGCAAAAGAACTGAACTGAGAAATACCTGAATTTGAACCTAAAATATTGAATGCTTCTCCCTCAAGAATAGGCTTTGGATGAAACAGATATGAGAGCATACCATGTACATCTCATAGCAAGAGCATGGTAGGTGATAAAGCCTGCTGACAGTTGCTGCTAATCAGAAGAGTGATTCTACAAAGCAAAGGAGCTGCTGTCGGGGGGGTTTTAGCATAGGAGCAGGAGCCCAAACTGAGCTTTGCCACAAACTCACTGTAATCTTTGATAAGAAAACCACTTTGTGTTTCTCTATGCTTATCCCTCCCACCTAATTGTAAAACTGGGATAATATTCCTACATAGGTGTGTTCAGGCATAATACCATAAAAGCAGGCCTGAGATGATGCAATGTAAACTTCTCTGATAGAAGCTTTGACGTCACTACAATCTGCCTCAATTTTAAACCACAAAGACTTAGCATCAGAGAGCTTATGGGGCAGTATCCTAACGTTGCTGTATCTTGGAATATCATGCGAGAAAGCTGCTGACTAGTCATTGGTTCTGATTGTTCCATGCTTATATACAAGCTGTGCCATTATTTTGAGAGCTATGCTAACTGAAGGCAATAGTTAAGAGAGAGAGGCAGAGTAACAGCATTCCTTTCATAGACTGTAAAAAAGAAAAAAAAAAGAGAAAAAAACAAACTCAAAAAACACAACCTAGTGCTGTGATTTTATTAACTCCAGATAAATGATCAGCCATCTTTTCCTTTCTGATCCTACCAGTACCTGCTAAAATCAGAAGAGAAAGAACTGGCAATAAGATTAATTCTTCTTTCTCTGCCAGATTCCCCAAGCTTGTCCACAGGGGTGTTGGCCTTACTCTTGCAGCAGCACAAAACTTAATAACAACTTAGAGATAAGGCAACAATTAATGATAATTTCTTTGATAGGTACAGAAAGAACACCAAATCCCACTGACTCTATTATCCTTCTCTCGCCATTAGCTTTGCTATATTTTGGGACAAGTTCAGTGTACATGTGCTATAATGCTTAGATGAGACACATAGCAACTTGTCAAAGTATATTATCTATAAAAAAAAAAATCCATACACATATCGTATAAGAAGGGAAACTCAAATACTGACTAGAGACTCTAAACCAAACAGTTCTCCTCAAGCTGTCCAGGCAGCTGGACATCCTTTACCCACAGCTTCTTTCCCTGCAGACCAAAACTGTATTTTGCCACCTGTCAATCTCATATTTGCATCAACACTTTGAAATGGGAAAGAAGATGGGAAGAATCTAATAACCAAACATTTCCCAGTAAATACCTTGACTTTCCCTCCCTGAGTTGTTTTGTAAGCAATCCAGCTTTCACGTGTTGTTTATCTGGTTTTAAAGAAACTGTTGTTACCTCAGTTAGAAAGTACCACGAGTTACTGTGGTTTTAGACTCCAGGAGCACAAGGCCAGCAGGACAAGTTGGATTTCAGATTCATAACATGATGCATTCATTTTTGGCATACAAAAAGTGAGAGCTTTGTCTGGTCTCTCAAAATTCAATTAGGTATATAACCATTATTTCTACAGTTACTGGAAATCAGAAGAGAAAGAGACCCTGGGTGATGACATTCGTATGTTATTATAAATTGTAGTAAAGACATAAGACTGACATTTCTAGGGAAATAGAAGGTCTTTTTCTTTTTTTATGTATTTATTGCAAGGCTGACAGCCTTATTTATCTTCAAACAGTTTGCGATATTCCCACAAGACTCTCCAAGACGATCAGTAATACTGCTGTTCAGAAATAGATTGTCGGTAGGAGACCACTTACCACAGTAACTGAAGGTTAAATTCTGTCTAGTACTGAACATTTGTTATTGCACCATAAAAATACAATGGCTGCATGTTTCATTTCAGGTTATCATGAGATTAAAATATTATGCATATTAACTGTGCTTTTCTAAACCGCCTCTGAAGGACAGATTTGTCCAGAAACATGTAATTTTTCTGCTAGATTAAATGAGACAGTTAAGTGACCAAGATACCCCAGCAAGAGAGGATGTTGTTGGTAACATCTTGTGGTTGTGTCTGACCCTTAAGAAGCCATTTTTTCCTTGTCTATTTTCCTACTGATGGGTAGCAATATGACTGTGAAAGTATTTCTTAAGGGCCTTTATTGAAGTCTAATGCAGTGCATCAAAATAAAAACTAAGTGACAGTTGTGACCTTCCCATGATGTAAATTTGGGAGAATCTAAGGTCCACAGAATAAACAGCTTGTATAACAGCAGAAGATACATAGTAATAGAACACATTACTCAAAGAAAAACAGTTTACACAGGCAGCAGCCACAGTCCTGCACTGAGTGCTGAATAAAGGGCTTTATAAAGAGTTCCAGGAAGTTTTTTGGGAATTTTACAAGCACAGATAGCATGCCCTGAAAGTGAAATTAGCCCATGCCATCTTGTGACAGGCAGGTTGTAACCAACATTGCCAACCCAGAGTAGAAAGAGGGAAAAAGACATTTATGCCATTAACAGATCTTAGCATCAAGAAGCACAGTGTTGTGTATCCCTGTGGTTGAATTAACATTGAAAGATCTTATCCTGAGAGATGCTTAAGCTTGAGAACTCAAAGAGCAGAGTATATTGACATTTACTGTTGAAGCAGAAGGCACTCAGCAATTGGGATAGGTCTCCTTCCAAAATCTTCAACTAGTTCATCATCTGATAGACGAGTGAAGTCTCTGAGAAAGGATGAGCTGCTTGTAACACATACAGGGAAAGAGTGAACCCTTTATGCTTTCTGCAGGATAATTAAATCCTCAGAAAGAGAGAATTTGAAGTTATCCAGTCACACTGAGAACATGCATACAGAAGGAAAATAACCATGTAACCAAAGGTAACACAACCAAACTTCATTGTGAAGGAAGGTGTAGAAACAACTTTCAGTTAATAGATGAGATAGAAGAAGTACTTAGGTAGCAAACCTTTTCCAGAAAATTACTGTGTTCTTAAATAGAGAAACTGCTTTCACAGCTTTGTAAAATGAGGAACCTTAATTACACAATTCACAAGGTATTTCTAAATCTGTTGAGATGAGCCAAATCTGCATATACAGAAATGACATTTTGCTGAACGCGCTCTGTTGGTGCTGTTAGATCTCATACTGCTTTGGGGCAATTTGGCTTTGGGAGGCAATTGAAAAGAAGAGGGAAGGGAAGGCAAGAATGGTTTAGAAATGCTGAAAAATCAACCAGCAATGTTGCTATGTTCTTTGGTAAGAACTAAACCCAACAATTTCATTTTTTGTCAAGTCTTAACTGAAAGGTTTTAATGAGAAAATAACCCACAGTCCTCCATCCAAGCACCCATCCACACTGCAGTGACTAAAATAATGGAGCTGCAGAGAGTTCCTCCCAAATGATCAACAGAATTCATTGAACTGAGCAGAAGGCTTATCCTTCTTTCCTTAGCTTTTGAAATAACTTTATGTCTTGTTTTCTATTTTTACAGGCAACGATACTTATTCACCAAACAACATTTGCAAATACGTGCTCTCGGGGTGTACTAGATACCACCATAGCAGAGTAGAAATAGAGCCTGCATCCAACCACAGAGCCTGCAGCATTATGCAATATCCTTCAGTTAGTCCTCTGAAGTTTCCAAGCATGGAATAATGTGGCTTTTCAGACCAAGATGGGCTCTGGAGGGGAGGAAAACCCACATGGAACCCTCAATAAAAACTATTATAAACCCTTCATCACAGAAGGACACAGAAGAGAACCAGTTAAACCATAGCTAGAAATATGTTACAAAAGACATTTAATACAGGTGCCACAGAAGGTATGCCATTGCTTTTCAACCAAATAATTTGTAACGCTTGGGTTAAAAGCTAAGATTCTCTCAGATGGACAGTGACTAGCTGTACTTGAAGCAGGTTGGAAATAAAAAACAGGGCCTAAAAGTGTTAGCCGGATAAACTGATTTAGTCTAAGCAGCAAATACTAAGGACTGAGACTAAAGTATTATTCTCTAATAAAGTAAACTAAAGTAAACTTGAGACTGAAGTAGTATTCTCCTTATAAGAGCTCTTTTGGGGTCAAGCAACTCATGTTGCTACCCTACAGTATCCTAAAGAGGTTTGTCATCATTGTCAATGGACATTTCCTGCTATGTTTTTTTTGTTTGTTTTTTTTTCAGCATCTGAGCTGAGTTTCTGGTCAACAGCGAAAGCATTGATCTGGAAATAGTCTCTGAGAGGATTCACTTCAAGGTTTCTTCTCCTCTGCATCTATTTCCCATGCTTCCCCTCACCTATGTATTCTACCACATGATTTCCACTTTCACATCTTCTGTTTCATAGCCTTGTACTCACCTGCTACACTCTGAAGAACTTGAGCCAAATATCCAAGAGCACTTAAGAAAATGCAAGAAGGTTTTATTTTATTTAAAAAAAATACAGTATCTTGTGTCCAGCTGTGTAAATGGGTGAGCCCCAAGGCTGCAGAGTAATCTTTCGGCACTGATAAAAAACATATGAGATTTTATCTGATGGCAAATCCACCACTTACTGACCTTTCTATTTCAGGTACAAGTAAGAGAAGAAATTCTGGTACCAGAAAAATTATACTCATGCTTTTACAAGAGATTTTTCATTTTCCAAGATGGACACTTATATTAACTATTTAGGGAAAAATAATTACCTGTGATTGTATTACAGGGGTACAGCAGGCAATAATTTGAGATGGGATTTACTTTTTGGTTGAGGAGGAAAAGAAGTAGGAATTCCACTCTCCTACCACACTTCCTCTGGAAAATCAGGAGTTGCACTTGGGGACTATGTACCTAACATTTGGAGAATATGCATTTTGCTGAAAGCTTCAGTCCAGTCTAAACTGAATTAGATTTTTCTCCCTACAAAAGCATCTGCATTCAGTGATTGGTAGCAGCATAGTTTTCACTAGATTTGCTCACTGCTCTAGTCCTAGCCTTGAGACATATACAAGACTTCAGAGGCTTCAAGATCTGCTAGGCTTGTACTTAGTGATAAACAAATTCTTGCCAGACTGACTCAGATTTTTAGGTCAGTAAGAGGCACTGCGCTCCCGATATACCTCTATCTATTGCTTTAGACTACTGCCAGTTTACCATCAATCCTGAATTTTGGGTGCAAGAATAAAATCGTTTAAATTAGTGTTGTGTAACACAGAGAAGGACAAGCAGAAGAATATGAAAGAAAATCAATCAGCAGGAAAATTGAGAAGCAGAATGCTGACAGCAAACCATCTTTTTTCAGCCACTATTTAAGGTTTTTAAAGTCTGTGCAAATGATACAAACTTGAATCCTAAGGCTAGAAAGGAGTATGGCGTAGTAATATAAAAAAAGAATTCTAACTGATGAGGCCCTAAGGCTTAAAGTCTCAAAGAATGAAGCAATCTTCAACTGCTGTATTGGCTCACAGCTGTAGAATAGATTTCCATCCTCCTGAAAATTACAACTTCTTTCCTGCTCAGGGGAAAGTTTAGATGCTGCTGAACTTCAGCTGTCTGAAGATGTGCATTAGTCCTTTTAAAATACTTTTGATAAATAGCTTTTGCTTACATGGCTGTGTATGCTAAAAGAAAAAAAAACCAACAAAAAACCAACCAGAAAATAAGAGATTATTAGCTGCATAATTATAAGGCAAAAAAAAACAAAAAAAAAACAAAAAAACACACACACCCCCCAAAAACACCAAACCCCATAGCAATAGACAAGAACACAGGAAAATTTAGGAGAGTACAGTTGTAATGAGATTTATTAAAAGGTATGCTACTACAACTAGAGTTAGGAAAAGAGTTAAGTATTGATACCAAGCAATCAGCAAATACACTAAACTAAAAGAAACAGCATTAAAAAAAAAAAACTAATTAAGCATGCACTACCTGGTCAGAAAATAGATTTCTTTAATACTACATCTTCTTTTCAGTTCTAAGTCATATCAACAGACATGGAATACTTTTTATGCAATGACACAAAGATGCTTTAGAAATTAAAGCTGTTGCTTATTAACTTACACGTTATTTTTTTATATAAAACACTTTACACTTCCATTTGTTCTCCGGAACACTTTTGCCAGGTTTAAAAAAAACACAAAATGTGATGTTACAAGTATTTACAGCATTTTCTTTTGTTAGATGAACATTTTTATAAACTGAAAGGGAACATCTATGAACAGATCATGTAAAATGAGGGCATGTCAGCAATTCTTAGCCATGCTTTACATGTCTTTAATACTGCACTAAAAGTAGTCCATTAACCTTTTTCTTATCTCACACTCATTTTCCACTGGGTTTCATCCACCAATAGTGATCTCAGGTAAAGGCCACTTTGCATTGGGTCTTCCCATCAGAAATGAGCATGAGATAGAACACAGGTTTTCCAGAAGATGTCTCAGTAAAACCAGAACCATCAGTCTTTGGTCAGAGAATGAGGTGATGTTCTGATGCAAGAATCGAAGTGGCTAGCAACCTTTGTCTTGTGCTGCTGCAGTTCTAGGGTGAACCTTTGCAGAAAGTGGGTAACATATTCAAAAATAATTGGAAAGCACTTAAAATCAACTAAGTACATAGGTGATAGCTTCCCACTCATAAACAACGTGCAGTTTCCAAGAACTGAAAAACTGCTTACAGCAACAAAATAACCCTGCTAAGGTAAAATCTTTCTTCATCTGTGTAGGCATTTAATTTATTTGGGACAACATGTTATTACTATCCAAAGTTAGAAATAGGTGGGTTATGCTTGGATTCCTGCATATTGTGGTACGAAAGATAAAACTGCAATGGTAAAAAAAGCTGAAACAGCTGTAATTCACTTCTTGTATAGTCAGTAGACAACATTCATTTTTAACAATGTAAATATACAACTTATAGGGGAAGATAATGTGTTAGACTTAAGCCAGCAATAGATACGAAAAAACTCTACATCTAAAACTACTGAAGGCACATAAATTTTGGTCCAATTTTGTGTACCATCACTCCCCCTCCCCGCAATAAACCCTGAATGTAAATACGTCTGAAATTCTCCATTCTTTCTTGAAATAATTCACAATCCCTAACTGTTCAGATTTGCTTTGAAAAGAGCAGGCAAACCATCTTGCATATAGCAAATAAATCTTCAGAAGACAGAAGATAAAGTTAATACAAAGAAAAGGTAGTTCTGCTGTAGATAACAACATACAGGACAAAAGGTAAAGCGAAAACAATTCATTTTGTAAGCAGTTGACCTCTCATTTGAAAACAGCAGTATGACCAAACAGTATACAAGAAGTAGGTCCATACCCCTTATAAGAAAAAAACTCATCACTTTCCTACTGATGTGAATCAGAGGATGGCAAGATACTTGATTACACAAACCACACTGGCAGTATTATCAGAGAGGTGAATAGTCTTCTCAACATGCAGACAAGTTTGCCATCTATAATCGTAAAGTGTCATATGTAGGCAAATCATCTCAGGTATGTGAAATATCTTGGGCATAAAATCAGTGCACAAAAAATAAGTACAGCTGACAGGACCAGCAGACAAGGCAACCATGTCAAATCACAAACCGAAGTTTCAGAAATTCTTCTGATGTTCAAAGACCTTTGAAAAAATTCAAAGAACCAAAAGTTCTAACATTATGCAACAAATCACAGGTCATTTGAAAAGGCACTAAGCTGGTCCTAGGTTGTTAAAAAGGCTATTGTACGCTTTGAACTGAGGGTGAATTCGCAAAAAAAATACAGAGCTAGAGGTAACCCAAAGCCGATTGGTGGATTTAATACATACATAGGCAGAGAACTCTGCCCTCAACCATTCCAGTAATTGTAGTCAGGATATAACCACTAGTGGCTTAGAGTACAAGTTCTGGGTTACACTATGATTCACAAATAATTTAAACAGAAATTGAGAACTTACATTAAAGAAATCATGAACCTACCTTCAACAACTTAAGGCCACTGTATAGAGAAAATGGGGCCAGAATCTTCTTGTTACACAAGAAGTTTGCACAACTACAGGACAAAAGGCAACAGTCATAGGATGCAGTATGTTTAAAGCCTATTTGCATATTAGATAAAAAATGAGGGCAGTCCAGCACTGGAACAGTGAGGAGAATAAGGAATTTGTAAAATCTCAATTCTTGGAAATAACTGAAAACTTAACTGGACAATTCCCTGAGCAACTGCTCAAAGTTGGCCCTAATCCAACTTTGAGTCAATATTAAGGCCTCCAGAGGATCCTTTCCAACCTACATCACTAAGAATCTGTAGAATAATCCCATTCTTTCCCATATCTTGCTTTTTTTCTTTTTTTTTCCCCCCATAGGTATCACTGCTCATATATGCTTCAGAGAACCAAGACATGAGATGCAACTGTGCTTTAACAGCCAGGTACTAAAGAGCCAAACACAAAAGTCTAAGAATTACTCCTTTTTTCCTGATCCTTCACTAACAATTCATTATGATAAACAAGGGGTTATGGGTTTGCTTTAAATTATTTAAGGCAGACTACTGATTGAGATAAACTAGCCTTAACTAGTGCCTTCTTTCTGCAAACCAAACACTAAGATGCACTGTTAGTTTTGAAGCTTGTCTGCACTTCCTGTAAAAGCAAATCTCCCTAAGAAGCAGCATCTTTAAAATATACACAAATCTAAAATTAAGTTGACAGAAATAGCTCAAATACAGAAGTACAACAAAGGAGAATGAAAACAAGACACACAATAAATTTGTAACAAAACCAAAAATCCTTTATTGTTTTTTAATTTTTAACACACTCAGAGTTATCTTACACTAAAAAACCATAAATGTCTTCTAATTTAAACTACAGGTGTCTACATTTCAAACAGCAAAGAGTCCAGAGCTGATATTAGCTGTATTCTAACACTAAGTTAAAAGAGAAATTAATCCTTTCTCTTTTTCAGAGAAAGTCAGAAGCCCTCATCCCTTTATGCTTAAGCTTTCCCATCTTTTGCTGTCAGTCAATTAATTAAAATGCATGATTCACATGTTTGTATACACATATTATCAGTATCCCTGTACCACTCCTGATATTGCACATGTCAGTATTAGATCTCAAACTTAATGTTCCATTTTTCCTGCTTTAGAGTTACATTCATATCTAATACGATTCCTCTCCGCTGTAGCTGTAATTCTTGAGAAAAGTGACAAACCATATTTTATGGATAATGGTGTGGTATTATCAAAGCAATTTATGTGCAATAAACAAGGAATGTTCCCAGTCCAGCAAAATTCTCTATATCAGTGTGACTGCTAACAAGGTAAAACATAGACATGAATTAGAATTAAGTATCCTGGTGAAAAAGAGTCTATGCAAAAGAGCAAGCCTTCTTAAAACTGCACTTGGCTAAAATCATAAATGCGTAATTTTGTATCATGCTCTGGCACCCCAGATTTTTTTTTTTTCTTTTTTTAAAAAAAAAAAAATTGGTTTCAAACGTCACAAAACTGAATTAGCTATTTCTGAAAGAGGAAAATAGAATGACTACCTTAAATTCTAGTGGTAACATTCTGTGCTATTCTCAAGCCAATTTGACTTTTCAGTAAATAGTATATTCTGAATACTTCTTTATTTGTGTTGTAGAGCACTTATTATCACTGAATACGTATTTAGTCAGCATTTTATCTACTGTCAAATAGCACAATTTGTTGCAGTCTGGCACCATCTTTTACTGTGATTGGCTGCTGCAACTGATTTACATATATTAAAAGAAGGCAAGCTAGTTTTTCTCAAAATCCTGCTGATTTTGAGAAATAATACAGAGAAAATTTGAAAAAGCTTACTACAGAATACTTAAGGTCATGTGAGAAACATGCTTTTTCTTTGGGAAAGAAAGTCATACAATTTATACAAATTTATTAAAAAAAACAGAAGTGGCTAAACATTTCAGCAGGAGTTAGAAGTTAATAAATGTTATGCTTGAGAGGAATACCTCTCTAAAAGGTAGTTAACACAAGAAAGAAAATTTTTAATAATGACATTTAATTTTTTGAAATAAAAGTCACAAAAGTTTATATGTACTTTAAACACCAAAGCTAACTCTATCTCAGCATATTCTCCAAAGAGAAATATGCACTCACTATCAAATATTTCTGCCTACTTACAAGAGAAAGAATGACAGCTATTTATTACTTAAAAGATTAATACTGGGAGAAAAATGCAGCAACTCGGATGTCTCTTAAAATGTTAGATGAAGTCCAGAAACTGGGGTGAAATTTGCTGTGTAGTCTTTCTATACAGGTTTTTTTTAGTGCATTTTTTTCAGCCAAGTACTGGCATCAAGTAACTGCAACCAGGTAAATTTGAAGAATCCCCACACAATTACACAAGAAGTTAAACTCATTCTCACTTAAACTCGTTAAAGTCATTCCCACTTCTATCCAATCTCTATACCGAAGCACAAAAGACTGGAATTCAGATTACTCTGTGGGAACAAAAGTATCAAGGAAAACATTTCTAAGAAGACCACAAAGAGAAAGCCCACAATGTATTTTTCAAGACACTTCAGAGAAAACTCTAAGCTATTCTATCATAAGCATATAGTAAGGCACATAATAAGAAATTAAGTAAATACATAGGAATTTAAGTATTAGACATTATAGTGGTACTAAAAACTCTTGAGGTTCAATTTTTCTGCTCCAAAGATGACCTTAACAAAAATAAGTTCTTAAAAAGTTATCAAACCATCAAAGACCTGAATATTTTCAATAAGATTGTAAACATTTTATTCTTTAAAGAAATGTAAAAAAATTCACTGATTTCAGGACTATTTTCCCATTTTCTCTAAAGCACTATCATACATCGCTTCATAGGAAAAAGAAATTAATGCCGGGGCTAAGTCAAGCTAGGTGTCTGATAGCACATCTTGAAGAAACTTGTCAAATATCTTTTACATATTTATACAGTGAGAAGGCACTGCCTGTTCTCTAATAATTTAACCCATATGAACAGCACAGTTTGCTTTTAAAGGAAGTTATTGTAAAGATTTGCCAAACTATGAACACATACCCTGGTGACATAAATACTATTTAGAGGACACTCACAGCCAGTGCTTCCATTTCTTCAAGAAACCCAAGCATTATTTCACATTCAAATTAGCGTTTAATCTGTGTAGTGTAGATTGACTATTATTTTTGTTAGAAGTATTTTTTGTTTGGTATATTGTAAAAATTCTCTGAAGTGTTTTGTAAGGCAGATTTTAAACAAAAGCTAAAGGGATGTTCTTTATGTAGGAAACTTGGGGATAAATATTGTTGCTAAAGCACTTTCATAGAGGAATTTTTCCATGGATGAATATTAAACTTTGATCACATACTGGCAGCTAAATCAGAAAAGATAATCACCTAAAACTGCATGTACGAATGAGCTTTTTCTTTTAAGAGACAGAGCTGGTTACAGCTGTTTCAGTCTCTATTTGAAGATTTTATTTAATGTGTGATGCAGCCTTAAAAGGAAAGTTCACAGAAAAGTCAGATTGTATATTTTGAGAAGGAAATTCGGAGGTGATGCTTTTCTCCAAGGTCATGATTGTGAAGCTCAATGAGAGCATGAAATGCTTCTTCCACAGAGCCCAGCTGGATAAGAGCCATTCTGCAGTCTTTCCTGAAGTACAATAAAAACCATTATTCATCCTGAGCAAACTTTCATTGCACTAGCCAACACAGAAAAAGTGGTACAAGTATTTTTTCAGCCACATCACACACACTGGACACACTTGTACAGGGAATCAGAGCTAGTTATGCACATGCTAAAATGAGGAGATGTAGAAATATTGCAGATCAATGGCCTACAGCCATGCCTTTCTTCCGTTACACCATGCTTTGAAAAACAGGGTCAAAATAAGGCTTGAAGACCTCTAAGAAACGCGTGTTATGTCCATGTATGTGGGATTGTTTAGCTGGTATGATCATGCTAAAATAATGCTGCCAAGCAACTTTAATGAATGTTAGAGCAGGTTCATTGTCTTCTTTTATATGACATTTTAAGTATTCACAGCCAGTATTTCTTTTTAAAGAAAAGAGTATTTACTTTACTTGAACTTATTGTACTTTGAACACATGTGGAATTCATCAAAAGGCTGAATATTTTTCATTTAATTATGCTAACATAGTTTACCATTAAAAATTTTAAGATTTGGATTATCAAAAATTGCCATAGCTGTGCAGCTTTTGACTATAGATTTAAACACATGGAATTTTGCCTATACTTTTATTTATTTATTATTTTATTTATATATTTCTCAAAAACAATTATCCCACTCCCAGGGTGAAAATTTGCTCAGCATTTTTACAAGAGAACTTACTGGATGAATCTGAAGGCTTTCACAGTAGATCCTATTTTTTCAAAAAGGTTTTCCATGTCCTCAACAGTAACAAAAGGCCTATTTAAAATAAAGAAGAAAACAAAACTGAAACAAACCCCCCTCAACCTGTAAAAGAATACAGGATTCTGTAATAGTATCAAAATCTCAGTTCTGGATTCTAGATTAAATTTGAACAGCAAAAACTATCTCCACCAACAAAAGCCGTGTCGACTTTAGCTCAAACATCTTGGCTTTGACACTAAGATTTAGCACCACAGTGTGCTACAAATACATTTCAGATACACTCTACCACTTTTCATCCTACCATGTTCCTCTCTTAGTTAAATTAAGATTGCATAAAGATCATTTAAGATCTTCACCAATATCTTCAGAAATAGTTTCATCTGGTAACTGCTGCAGATGTGCTTCACATATTTTCAATTTTGAAAGCTTTCTATTTTACTCAGAAAGCCATTTTTTAAGTGGCTTTGTTTTTTAGTTTTTTGTTATGTGTTTGTTTTGTTTTTTTTTTAAATTTGGACAAAATTCCATAGTTTTCCCTTTTCCCTCTCTGCACAGCTGTTGAACAAAAGATGCTTGTAAAAACTTATGTTTGTTTCTCACTCCTCACATTGTTGACAACATTCTAGATAGGAAAAAAGGTTGGTCCAGTTTTAAAGAACATGCTTCTTAATACTTTTTCTTTATAACAACTTCCCCTCTACGTAAGATGTCTGAATTCTGTAGAAACAATTCTTTAAAAGTGTTAGAATTATTAAAAACTGCATCTACATTAAACAATGATGCCAGTCAGAAATCTGATGTAATGTAACTCCAGTACATTATCTCAAAAACCATGAATTTAATATTCACAAATATTTAACATTTATTTAAGTATTTAACTTTATTATACATATAACAGTTATTAATGTTTATTAAACACAGGACTTAATATTTGTAAAGTAAAAGCATATTCTCAAGCATATGTAAACTGTACTGAAATGCAAAGAAGAGCATTCAATCAGTTCTATTCTTTGCTAAGAATAAAAAGTAACAGTTAAAGGATTCACTTACTGCTAATTACACAGCAGAATGATCCAAATTCTTAGGAAACGGTAAAAGGCAAAGGCAATGTAAAGCTTATATCAGATTATATAACTTAAGAACATAACCTAAAAACCATCTTTACAAGAGGATCACACATGTAGATACTCACGGGATGTTGGAGAGATGCAGGGTGTCAGATGGAGGAAAGATGTTTTGGAAGTTCTTAGAGCCAGATTTCCTAAAGCGATGCAGAGGGCTATTGCTATAGTCCTTCGTCAGACCATTGCCCCTTTGTCCCTCAGGAGGAAGCTGAATTATTTGATGTTTTGAAAGAGTAGCATGGATGACCCTTCCATAAAGCTTCTGTCCATTCAAGTGACCCATAGCTGACCAGTGGAAATACAATTAGAACAGGAATGAAGAGAAAGGAAGCAAAAAGGATTCTTTGCCTTCTATTTAGTGTCAGATTTCACATTCTAAATTTAAACTGCAACTTCCATGTTTACCAGGTGGGCTATGTCATAACATTATATTTAAAACAAGTATAAGAACGTAAGATATCCTCCAGTTCAAAAGCAAAAAAAAAATGCAAACCAGTATTTCAATAACGAGCAGTTGATTATCCTTAAATAGCTAGATATAGGATAAACTACAGTAAAACTGCATGATGCATTAGTAAGATAAGCTACAAGAACCTAGCATAATGTTTTAATTCTATCATTGACTAGATGGAGATTCACAGGATTTATTTTTTTTTATCCACTACAGGAAAATAATTTTTTTATATGAAGCAAATATCATAACATTAAAAAGGACAAGCTTGTATGTAGTAAAGCATCACGATGATGGATTTCATTTGTTCATGCTTTTGTCACTCACAGATGGCAAATTCCTCATCTTTATCGCACTCACTCTAGTTTAAAGCATAACTGTGCCTTAAAAATCAGTACCTAACTGAGCCTGGGTTGCATCTGCCATCTGAACCAATGCGTTGCTTTTCTTCTTAAACATGATCTTCACACGATGTACATCACCATACATACCTGTGAAAATCCAGAAAGAAAATTTGTCCAGAGCATTACTACAAACAGCACAAGGGCAAATCTGAGGTTTTTGACTGACATTATGGTTACAAAGAATAATCACCTCATTAAACAGGTTGGTTAGAATATTAGTATGAAGGAGATCTTTAAATTTTGTGTATTATTTTCTGAGGCTCAGAAATGGGGGAAATCCCACAGGATTTTAGTCTCCTGTGTGGAGACCTCATAGCAGCCTTCCAGTGTCTGAAGGGGGGCTATAGGGATGCTGGGGAGGGACTCTTCATTAGGGACTGTAGGGATAGGACAAGGGGGAATGGATTCAAACTTAAATAGGGGAGGTTTAGATTCCATATAAGGAAGAAATTCTTCACTGTAAGGGTGGTGAGGCATTGGAATGGGTTGCCCAGGGAAGCTGTGAATGCTCCATCCCTGGCGGTATTCAAGACCAGGCTGGACAGAGCCTTGGGTGACATGGTTTAGTGTGAGGTGTCCCTGCCCATGGCAGGCGAGTTGGAACTTGATGATCTTAAGGTCCTTTCCAACCCTAACTATTCTATGATTCTGTTATTCTATAATACAGCATATTTATATTCAGCTGTTAAATAGTGCAACAGTGTTAATGTCCTCTTAATAGAGACATATTAAATATTACTATGCCAACAAACATTGTCCTCTGCAACTAACGTATGTGCCAATTCTTTACTCCATTTCCCCTGATTCAGTCTTTGTTTTTTTCATTTCACTTTGCTTTCCTGTTCTTTGTGGTAAACAAATTGGACCACACACTGAAATTCTTCTGATGATGTAAATATTGTGCCATTTTGGTACCTGTTGCCTACAACTACTGACTCAAACAATTGCGATTTTAAAACCAGCACATTCTCTTGTGCATTGTCTGAACAAAGATAGAGGAATGGATCTTGCATTAGCAAGCATACATCAGATAAATAAAAAGAATGTTAGCCCTCAAGGTATATTTGACATATCTTACCAAATAGGATGAAAAGTCCATGTGGTGTGATAGCCTGTTTAAATGATAAAATAAGTATATTATTTTTAAAGCCATGGAAATAGTCTATTCCATAAATGCATGGTAAACAAAAAGAATGGAAGAGATACATGAATTTGTCTCTTCAAAAGCCATTCCCTAACTACAATAAATACAGTGTATAGCATTATTGTTAATATGTATTTGCTATGCACATATAAAATATTTAAACACACTAACACTACAGCTTATGCTTTTTCATCAATAGAGACTCATTCTGTCATGCTGAAGAAGTTATCAATATTTCAAGTGGCTTAATTATTTGAGCTCATTCTTTCCAAGCTAGCAGTTTACTCTCTGAAAAACAAAAGACATTTGCTAAACTAGAAACAAAAAGGAACATTCAAGAACCCTTTTGTATTTTCTAAACAGCAGACAATACCTTAAAACTAAAAGCAGTTGTTTCAAAATGTTCAAATGGATACACATACCATGTTTATATATGAACCAGACAGAAAGCAGTATTTAAATTGCATTCAACTAGAAGCTGAGAACAGAAAGATAAATATTGAACAAAATAGCTTTCCTCCAGTGATTTTTAATTACATCCTTGTGTTCCAAGTTTTCCAAGCACCAAAGAGAAATTTACACCCTAATGCAGCCAAATTTGATTCAGCTGAGGCAAAGGTTTTGCCAGTACTGAGTATTAAAAATACCTGGGTATCAAAAGCACTACTCACACTCTTTAGTCTTATTCATTCTCAACTCACATTTGAAATGTGTACCAAACATATCTAAATTATTTCAAAACATCAGATAGTGCAGTTTAAGTGTAACCCCATACCCTTTTATCATCAGCATTATTACTAAATAGGAACAATTACTAGCAACATAAAATTTAAATGCTTCTAAGAGTTTGGGCTTTCTGGCCCAAATATTTTAATTCAGCACAGAGTTTATTTGAAGAAATTTTGTAACCAAAGGAGACTGCAATACTTATACTAAAAAAACCTTCTGGAAGACAAAACCAGTTAATTTAAAAGTCATGAGGGAATGCTAAAATGCACATTGAAAGCCTGCAATATGGGAGAAATATAAGTTGAAATAAGGTCAACAGATTTTCTATACACAGAAAAAGAAGTGAAGGGCTCAGACAACCACTACTGAAGAGCAAGTGTTACACAGTTGCCAAGAAATGTATTTACAATAATTTGTATTTCCAATAATAAGCACTGTTGTACATTCTTATTTCTTATCTTTTAAGAAGTTGAGCATTATTTAAAGCATTTATGTTGTATCATGCATTACAGCACAAGGTTCCATATGACAGCTTCTTGTATATGATTAGTATTAAGTAAAGCAGTCCAAAAAATAGCTCTGACCTTGCTTCACACATCCTTAGTCTTAAAAAACACACTATTTAAAGACTCAGATTGCTTGTGGATTGTGTATCCACAACAATCATAGAAAACTTACTGATCAGATATATTGACAAATTAAAGGAAAGTTGACTTGTCTTACAGTCCTAATCTGCAGCTGTTTCTTTTGATGCTTACTGTTAAGTTCAGCTCTCAGAACAAAGCCAGAAATACAGGAATTACTTAAAGATTAAATAAACTGTCAACAGATTTTTGAACTTCAGTAATACAAAAATAACTTCCATTTTGCCAATAACTCCTAATTTTATCAGTTGTTTGGTTAAGCAAGTCTAATGTGTGTGTAAAACAAACAATTGCTGTAGTAGAAGTGCTTATCCATAGTCAAGCAGAATTGTGGTTTTAGTCACGGCCTCTGTAAAGCTGGATTCTTTTTTATTTTTTATTTTTTTTAAGAGATGTACATTGCTTTTAGTAAGGCATAGAGCAATGTGTAGTATTTGAGTAACAGGAGTTACTATATAATTTTCACTATAAAAATAACTGCAAGCTGTCCTTGGCAATTCTACTGCCAACATATATATATATAAAATAATAAAATCTGTGTGTATTATGACATGTGAACATGTGTATTTATTAACTTTATAAAATTTTTTTTTTTTTTTTTTTTTTTTTTTTACAGTGATGTTAATAGCAAAGTGCACCCGTGATCTTCCTCTCCAACCTGGGATAAGCTGCAAAAACTAAAAGATCTTGCTTTGGAATGCTTTTATCTTCTTTTCTCTTCCCTCCTGTTTCTCTCACTCCTCATGCTTTGTAACAAATAAACGTCTTTGGCCTCTCTAATGACAAAGTAGCCCACAGAGGAGTCATATTAACAGAAGCACCATTAAGTTTAGTTGTATGTTATTTACCTCCTCAAGCATTTCTCACATCTGACCATGGACTTTTCTATGATTACCAGCTACCCTGCTAACAAAAGTTTTCTAAAGTAAATTGTGTTGGAAAGCATTTCACTGCTGACTGGATTTTTCAAACATCGTCAATTTTGCAAATTATCCCAAACAAGAATAGAGCTGTCCTTTTTTTTTGCATTATCAGCATTGAGATTTTCTCTTACTTCTTTAGCTAATGTCAATTTGCAAGGAGAATTCTGGCAGTTGGTACAAGTTGATACTTGCACCTGTTTCACCAAACAAACTTACTTCAGGGTTGAGGTTGCTGACTAGTAAAACAGAATTGGCTGGAACAGTATTAACTGCAGGAAGAGCCACTGGTGCAGGCACTGCTGATGTGGGAGCAACAGAACCACGTGGTGCAGGAGCAACTGGAAAGGAATAACCTGAAAGGGTATTAATAGCATGACTTCACACCTCAAAGAAGAAAAGACATTTTAGAAGACAAAAGCAGGTTACATTTGGCAAAAAAAATCAATACTCAATTAAAAAATGCTTCTAAGGAATTTAGTTATTACTAGTATTTGACCGATAAAGCAGAAAGCACCTCCCCTCCAGAAATGAAGAAATATTCTGCTATACCAACAGACACACAAAAAAGGGACAAGCCCAAGAAAGAAGAAAAATAATTTATCACAGAAAGGAAAAGATCACTGAGACTAGAAGACTATTTATTTCTCATTTTATAGCCAGAAAAAGGGAGATTTCCTTCTTTAGCTTTGAATGTCACTGAAGTCTTATGATTCTTACTAAAACATATGCTTAGTTTCTGCAACTGCAGGTAATCTTTATCATGGCATTTAATCTATCATATTTATTAAATGATAAAATACTTCAGTATCTGGGTTTTTTATTCAGAGATTAGTTTTGCTGAATAACATGAGAAAGAGAACCAGAGTGACTCAAATGAGCACTGTGTTCCAACTGCAATGTTTGAAAACAATTTGTTGTGAACCAGTGTATTCAGATAGATCACTAGCCACAAACACATACACTGCATTTTTAGAAAACGGAAGCTTACTTGCAACTGGAGTAAAGGCCATGGCTGGGGCAAACCCAGGAGCCCCTGTATATGACGGGATGATGAAATTTTGGGTGCCTAGAGAGAGCAGACACATCTAATTTTAAAATTTTAAAGATTTTAAAATTTTGAGAAAATGGAAGAGACTTCAGCAGTAAGAATCAGCTTCTAGTGTTCTGATCTCAGTCTGTGATTATGTCTTTTATAAAATGTTTGTGTTAAAAACTCTCATTAAAATCCAAGATTCAGTGTTTTACAAAGACAAATTTCAGCCACATTTGAAGACAAATATTCCACTTAGCCTCAATTTTCCTTTTTAAAATGAAGCCATAGCAAGACGTAATATAGACAAGTTTGAACAGTAAAGAACAGCATAGAATACTATCCATTAAAGTTAAGATACATTAAGATACCTGTGATGCAATGCAGCACACTAACTTGTATTCTAAGACGTAGTTATATATAAACTCAAGTTGTGCTTTCTTTCATATGTTGGCACACTAGACGTTTTTAAATGGGGTATATGTATTTAGCAAATACATCCTACATGCCTGGTAATCACAGAATCACAGAATCCCAAGGGTTGGAAGGGACCTCAAAAGATCATCTAGTCCAACCCACCTGCAAGAGCAGAGTAACCTAGAGTACATCACACAGGAACTTGTCCAGGCGGGCCTTGAATATCTCCAACGTAGGAGACTCCACAACCCCCCTGGGCAACCTGTTCCAGTGATCTGTCACTCTCACAGTAAAGAAATGTTTCCTGATGTTCACATGGAACCTCCTATGCTCCAGTTTACACCCACTGCCCCTTGTCCTATCACTGGACATCACTGCAAAAAACCTAGCTCCATCATCCTGACACTCACCCTTTACATATTTGTAAACATTGATGAGGTCACCCCTCAGTCTCCTCTTCTCCAAGCTAAAGAGACCCAGCTCCCTCAGCCTCTCCTCATAAGAGGGATGTTCCATTCCCCTAATCATCTTTGTAGCTCTGCGCTGGACTCTCTCCAGCAGGTCCCTGTCCTTCTTGAACTGTGGGGCCCAGAACTGGACACAATATTCCAGATGTGGCCTCACCAGGGCAGAGTAGAGGGGGAGGAGAACCTCTCTTGACCTACTAACCACACCCTTTCTAATGCACCCTAGGATGCCATTGGCCTTCTTGGCCACAAGGGCACATTGCTGGCTCATGGTCATCCTCCTATCCACCAGGACCCCCAGGTCCCTTTCCCCTTCACTACTGTCCAGCAGGTCAGCCCCCAACCTGTACTGGTACATGGGGTTGTTCTTCCCCAGATGCAGGACTCTACACTTGCCCTTGTCGAATTTCATCAAGTTCCTCTCCTCCCAACTCTCCAACCTGTCCAGGTCTCTCTGAATGACAACACAGCCCTCTGGTGTGTCAGCCACTCCTCCCCGTTTAGTATCGTCAGCAAACTTGCTGAGGGTACACTCAGTTCCCTCATCCAGGTCCCTGATGAAAATATTAAACAGCACTGGTCCCAGCACCGACCCCTGAGGCACTTCACTAGTCACAGACCTCCAGATAGATTCTGCCCCATTGACCACAACTCTCTGCCTTCTTCCTTCCAACCAGTTCTTGATCCACCTCACTACCTGATCATCAAGCCCACACTTCCTTAGCTCATCTATGAGGATGCTGTGGGAGACAGTATCAAATGCCTTACTGAAATCAAGAAAAACCTGTCTGTTTTACTACTCAAACCTCCATCATTGACTAAAATAGCTATATTCACTAACAGATGGTCATTGACAGGGATGATACAACAGTATAAGAAGTATCTGTTATGGATTACAAAACCAGCAAATGAAACAGACATCACAGATCAGGTACTCGTGAATGCTGCATCACATTACACCTCCTCTTATCTGTAGCAACAAAGTGTGATTCATACAAACAACTGAATTAATTTATCACACCAAAGGAAGTCATCATGTTCTTGAAATATACACACTGGTGCATTATATCCACAAGTCCTGGCAATATAGAAATGAATCACTTATTCACAATCCAGGAATGGTAATGGAAATATTAATGAAGAAATAGAGAAAGCACTTTTATTCTGCTAAATAACACCTGCATATTGCACACTGATACCAAAAATCAGGCATGCAAAAATTGTCAAACAGAGGTAATGCAGAAAGGTATGGAATTCTTTGTTGCACTTTTTATGTGTAAAATAATTTGTTTCATGGCTAGCTTCCAAAGCAAGCTAATTCATGTATTTCTGCTTACGCTCATTGGGTTAGGGAATTCTTTAAATGCAAAACATTCACAAAATCTGCTTATTTATAGTGCAGCATCTTTTCACCACAAGAAAAAAAAAAGGAAAAGGAAAAGAAAAATACAAGTTTCAAGAGCAGTTTAGTTTTTGTAGTAGGATAACTTCAAGTCTACAGAAAAAAATGCATGTATTATTCTGGTAGTTACCTGCTTTATCTTCTAGTTCTCCATCAAAAATGTACCCCCTAGTAGCAACATTGGAAGTGTTAAGTGCTAAAATGACTCCCAATATCTTTTCCTCATGTCATGCAACTGAGGACTATCAGTTTTGCCTATGGCAAAGTATGTGTGTTGTCACCACTGACTGAAAGGCTAGAAGCATGCTTCTTCCAGTCTACAGCTGTTTTTTTTTTAAAAGAAGAACATCTATGCAGCTGCTTCACTGTGACTGCACTACAAACAAATTTTGATGACGATATCAGAATCTTCTTTACATTAGCACCTCTGCCGTTCTTACTGTTACAGTAAATGTTCATACTGAAAACAGGACTACTAGCAATGACAAGGCTGGAAGACTCTGCTCTATAAACAAGTTGGTCCTTAATCTACTCTAATTTTACTTTCCCCTTTCATTGACATTTCAAATTTGCAAGTCTAATGAATGAGAACATCAGATCTATAACAGCATTTTTCTGTGATGATCTACAGCAAATCCTCAAAAACATTATAAAGATGGTTGCACATTAAGTTAGGATCCAAGGCCTGCCTTCAAGGGAACTAGCAAAACAATCCAGAAAGTAGTGGGTACAACTCACTTTCTTACTCTAATCTAATCTACCAAAGCCAGCTATCCAAAAAACCCAAGCCAAACCCAGCATCTGCCCTAGCTATCACAGAAAACTAAAGGAAAAACGGGAATTCTTCCCCAGCCCTTCCCCAACCTATTCAACATGCTGAGACAGTTCTTAGCTGTGTCTTAGTGCTAATGGTTGTCATTAGAGAGAAAGAAAAATAGCTAAAATCACTCAAATTGTATTGTGAGTACTTCTGCCAGATCATCATATTAATCTGTTTGGTGATCTGCATTATTACCAAAGCTGATTAAATGAGGATACCTGAGCTATTTACGCCAAAAAGGCTTCTCCAGTGTAGCTTCAAGCAGACATTGTATCCTCTACATCATGGAAATGACTTCTAAAATTCACAAAAACTTTCTAAAAATTTATCTTTTAGAAGGTGACAACAAAACATACATATATAGATATAGATATCTAGATGTAGTATTTCAAAGTTTCTCGTGGTTTTGTTACAGGAGGCAGTTATCCTAAAATAACAACAAATAACTAACACTCTTCAAACACTCATTTTCAAGCAGTTTTAGGCAAATATTGTCAACTTTGAATGACTGCCATTGGCCATTCTGATATGTAATATTTATTATACTACCTGTACCAATGATATAATTTCACAGCATTTTACAAATGCAGCTTTTTCACATCACTTTGAATTTGCCCAAGCGCATTCCTCATGTTATAGCTTCAGATACTCACGTGTCTTGAGTAGTACTTTCTGCTTTGCATACAAACTTTGTTTGACCCAACAAACAAATGTAAACAAAATGTACCTTTCTATGAACTTGATGTGAATCTAGAGCATAAGTGCAACACGAAAAGCATAGCAACCTTATTGTGTATCACTAAAAATGAAGGTTTCTTACCATAGGCAGGAGCCATGGGTAGCTCCGGAGGATGCTGGCCATCACCAAAAGGAAGATCAAGGCGAGTGAAATCCCTACTTTTCTCATTGTTGTACTTCACTTCAAGGCTACCTAACTTGGAGAACTCAATATGCAAGGTGCAGCACATACCGTAGATATTATGGCCATCCAGATTCTGAAGAAAAATAGCAATTTGTTATTTTTGTTATAATTTGTTTTCAGAGACAAATCACACAGTGGCAGCCACCACTGTAAGTTTGTTTTCACTCCACAGTTTTATCCATACAGAAAGGCATCTTGTTTCTAAGGTGCTGCTTTTACACACTAAGTATACAACTATGCTGCCGCCATCCTTACCTAAATGTCCTGTGTAGAGTACTTGCGCAGTCCACTAATTTGTATTACGTTGCCTCGTGCCGATGGACAAAGCAGCTTTAAACATGACTTGTCTTTCTCGCTGTGCTTCTAATCTTACTTGTCTCCCACTCAACACACAATATCAGATGCTAGTAGCAATACTAATTTGGAGCTTTTATTGCATGGAATTATCCCTTACATAAGCTGGTGAAGGACCAAGAGCGCAAGTCTTATGAAGAGCAGCTGTGGAAACTGAAGTTGTTTAACCTGGAGAAGGCTCAGGGTGGGATCTTAATCACTCTCTGCAACTACCTGAAAGGAGGATGGAGCAAGGTGGTGGTTGGTCTCTGCTCCCAAGTGATATGACGAGGAATCAGCCTCAAGTTGCACTAGGGAAGGTTTAGATTGGATGTAAGGAAAAATTTCTTCACCAAAAGGGTTGTCAAGCACTGGAGCAGGCTGCCCAGGGAAGTGGTTGAGTCATCATCCCTGGAGTTATTTAAAAGACCTGGAGACATGGTTTAGTGGTGGACTTGGCAGTGTTTAGTTTACAATGGGAATCAATGACTTCAAGGGTCTTTTCCAACCTAAATGATTCTATAAAATCGGTCTCTTTAAGAGTAGCTATGCTCAGAAAGACCACTAAAGTAGTGTTTTCTGCTTAAACCAGTCATAAAAGAATCATGATGGATGGTGTGGGGTAAAACACAATCAAAAGATACTGGCTTGTTATAATTATTTAACGTAATCTAGACTGGAATTATAATTTCTGTGACATCTTTAATAAGGTACATATTATTATTAATACTGTTCTTTAAGAAAAGATGGTATTGTTAACAAACAGGCTGTAATCCCACTTACCTTTAGTAATTTCCAGTATACACTTATTCACTAAAACACATAGTGAATTTACTTACTGGACTAACTTGCAAACAGCAATAGATAAATATTCTGTGCCTTTGATTTTGAAGCTGAGAATAAAAAGTCAATTTCAGTAACAGAAGTAGGGTAAAAGTTCCGTTCACTCTAGCCTATTGGTAATTTAAAAAAAACACCTCTAATGCTAAATACCACTTAATACTTAGCAGAATCTGTTCTTCTACATACCTTATATGGCAACTTTCAAATTGATTTTATTTATTTACTAATACTGAAGTGGCCACACAGATTAAAGAGAAATACAAAGTGTCTCAGGCCCAGCTATCCCTAATGTTCCCCATTTCCCTGGGAGGGTAGGAAGGCGTCCGGCAAAATAATCAAGCTGAATACACTACACTTACCATTTTGGCATAATATGCATTCATTGGATCAGCATACTGGAGCAAAGCTTGGAACTGATTGTTTCTAGTGAAGGTAACAATCCTCAAGACAGATCCAAACCTAGAAAAAATCTTGAGAAAGAAAAAATGAGCTTTCAGAAACAATGAATAACTTGTACATACTAAAATCTAGCATTTAATATATCACAAAGATTGCTGAAAATTATTTCTTTTGTGAGAGCTGAGGAGAAATTGAATGAACTTAGAGGTTTTTTCATATTAAAAAAAATAAAGAGGCTATAAAAGATAATGAAAAAGGATGAAATTTCCTTAAAGATTTAGCAATGGCTGTTCAACAGTCAAAGAGCAGGGAAGGGCAGCCCAAACAGGCATTTGTCCAACCCCTGCAGAGAAACTGTGGATAATCAAAGTTGAGGTTTGAGAAATGGACTTTCACAAGCCAGTTGAGATGGGAACTGCAATCTGCTTTTCAAGGCATCCACCTTTACATTCTATATTTCAAACAAGTTCTGCAAATTTGGTGACCAAAAATATATTTTAAATAGTTGATGTGTCTACAGATTAATTACTCACAACCACTGTCCAAACTAGAAGACAAAGAAGGAAAGAAGCAAGACAAAGACCAGGTTTGGGACCAATCCCTCTAATTTACAATTGAATGGCATTTAATTTATTGCAAATGCAAGCATTGCAAAAAAAAAAAAAAAAGAAGTCTGATATTAATATACATACACTCAAAATGAGAGTGTGAACTACATGAACATGTCTGTACAAAAGAAGAGCCACAAAGAATGAGGACAAAAGTATATCTAGGGCACATCACGTAAGTGCAGAAAAACTATGTCCAAATCAACAGTGGAAGAGGAAAGGTGAGTTTGGAAAGTACTAACAATTTTAGAGCAAATTGTCAGAATCAATGCAAGTCAGGAAAGCAGAACTCTTGCACCCCTCCCCCATCCCCAGAAAATACTAAGCCTGGAACAGAAAGAAAAGGGCAGGAAGGATGACCTTAGGAATTATAGGCCTGTCAGCCTGACCTCAGTGCTGGGGAAGGTCATGGAGCAGATGATCCTACTGAGATCAAAAAGCACATACAGGAAAATGGAGGGATCAGGCCCAGTCAGCATGGGTACATGAAGGGCAGCTACTGGTTGACCAACCTGATCTTCTATGATATGGTGACCCACCTGGCTGATGAGGGAAGGGTGTAGACATTGTCTATGTGGACTTAAGTAAAGCATTTGACACTGTCTCCCACAGCGTTCTCCTGGAGAAATTGGCTGCTCATGGCCTGGATAAGTGGATTCTTCGCTGGGTTGGAAACTGGTTGGATGGCTGAGTCCAAAAAGTGGAGGTAAATGGCATGACATCTAGTTGGCAGCTGGTCCCTAATGGTGTCCCTCAGGGCTCAGTGTCAGGGCCAGTGTTGTTTAATGTCTTCACTGATGAGCTGGATGAGGGATTGAGTGCAGGCTCAGTAAATTTGAAGAGCACACCAAGTTGGCTGAGAGTGCTGATCTGCTGGATGATAGAAAGGCTCTGCAGAGGGATCTGGACAGGCTGGATTGATGGGCTGCCGCCAGTAGTATGTGGCTCAACAAGGCAAAGTGCTGGGTTCTGCATTTGGGCCAAAACAACCCCATGCTATGCTCCAGGCTTGGGAAGAGTGGCTGGAAAGCTGCTCATGGAAAAGGACCTGGGGGTGCTGATGGAGCTGAACATAAGCCAGCTTGTGCCCAGGCAGCCAAGAAGGCCAGAAGCATCCCAGCCCGTATCAGCAATAGCATGGCCAGCAGGGCCAGGGCAGTGATCATCCCCCTGTACTGGGCACTGGTGAGGCCGCACCTCGAATCCTGTGTTCAGTTCTGGGCCCCTCACTACAAGGAAGACATTGAGGTGCTGGAGCTGGCCCAGAGAAAGGCAACAAAGCTGGTGAAGGGTCTGGAGTACAAGTCTTATGAGGAATGGCTGAGGGAACTGGAGGTGTTTAGTCTGGAGAAAAGAAGGCTCAGAGGGGACCTTATTGTTGCCTACAACTACTTGAAAGGAGGTTGTAGTAAGGTGGAGGTCAGTCTCTCCTCTCAACTAACAAGTGACAGGACAAGAGGAAATAGCCTCAAGCAGCAGCAGGGGAGGTTTACATTAGATATTAGGAAAAATTTCTTCACTGAGAGGTGCTCAGACATTGGAACAGGCTGCCCAGGGCAGTGGTGGAATCACCGCCAAGGAAAGCATTAAAAAACAAGTTGATGAGGCCCTCAGTGATATGGCTTAACAGTGGTCTTGGCAGTTCTGGGATAATGGTTGGACTTGATGATCTTAAAAGTCTTTTCCAACCTAGTTGATTCTATGAGATACGGACAAGCATCTCTTGCCAGCTTATTAGGCCTAGAATTATGGATATGAGACACACTACGCCAACCCTTTGCGCCCAGTTTCCAGGTTTTCAGAATCTCAGAAACAAGGGTTTTATGCTGCAGTCATCATTTTGTAATAGAAGACAGAACAAAAAGTTTTTCATAGCAATTTAAAATTAGCCACTGAGTTCCTGTTCATAAAGCACTTCCCCTTAAGAAAGGCCTAAATGCAGCTTCTGAACATAGGCTTTTCCATGTATATCCATGACACTAAATACACCTTTTTAAGATAATGAAATTCCATTTATTCCTGTTTGCTTTTAAATCTAAAACTCACTGTATATCAATTTTGTTTCTGCGAAGATGACACTAAATGTTCTGTTTCTTATAATAAATATTGTAAGGTGAATTCTTGTTAAAAGAAAGTGTTAGTTTCTTGACAAGCAATTGTAACTTTAAAAATACAATCTAAGTTTTGGATGACAGCTTGCCTATTGGAGGTCCCTCTGTACTTACCCACTACATGCTTAGTAAAACAAAACGAAACCCCAAAAACAAAAAAAAAAACCCAAACAAAAACCCCACAACTAAACAAAATCCCATACAAGATTACATCCAGGAACTACACTATTAATCTAGTACAGCTCCCATAACCACAGGAGTTTGTTCATGCGTTGAGTGCACTAATGATCCTAAACAGTTGACAGTATTTGCACAAGCTCAATAATGAGTAAACAACACTCAGAGATACAAACAAGAGTTTAGATAGGACAAATTGCTACATCACAGTGACAACTAGTATTCTACTTAGTATCGTGGAGGAGAGACATTGAGAAAGAAAATATTAAGAGGTAAAAGGAAAAATAAAATGTTGGTAACAATCAACAACTGTTTGAGATGCTAGTAAAGCAGCAAAAATCTTCCAAAACTGCAGGTTTTTGCAAAAATACACCAATTGTTTTAAATCACATTAATTTAAGAAACTCAGATTTGGGGCATGTTTCTTTTTACGGCACACATTTACTAGTAATTACGAAAGCTTCAAGTATTAAAGCCTTTGCAATATCTGAAAAAGCAACAGATTCTTTAGGCACAAAGACATAATCTTATAAAGTTACTATTTTTAAACTTAACAGCTCTCAACAGAGCACAACAGTGCACTAGGATAGCACAACCACCTAGCAGGAGTTAACGGTAATGTCTTTCATAGCTATAGATCACCTTTGTGCCAGGCTTTCAGAGGTAAAGTAAATGGCATTCTAACAGATGATAAACAATCAAAAATATTTGTCCAAGCAACTACACTTGTATGTTACATCACTTGCCTCAAATTATAAAATTGAATATAAAAGTTTAAAATATAATGAAAACTACAAAAGTTACTCAATAGAAAGAATATGGGTCCACAAGTTCATAACAATCATTATTTTACTAGCTTATCATGTGGGCATAAATTAGAAGTTACACCTCAAGTTTGTGGCTGCTTCCACAGAAACCAAGGAACTAAACAAAATGAAAAACAACATGTAAAGCTGTAAACAGAAGCCCTGTTTACTATGATTCTTTTTTGTGCAAAACTGATTCAAGCCTAGATCCTCATACTGCAATAAATAATTTTAAAATTACAGTCCTCATTCAAACAATTAAGGATGCACAGCTACTTAAAGAAAGAAAAAAAGTTAATTAATTTACAATGGAACAGATTTTAACTTTTTTTTGTTTTTTAGCAATCACATTACCTGATACAACACTTCTATAGTGAGAGGGTAGTGAAGATTTTCAACAATGATTCGAAGAACTGAACCTTGATAGGGACGGTGCCCACCTTCAACAGCATAAGTACTTGGAACAGCCTGGCTTCTACGCTCCATAGCATTCTCAGCTTCCAGTGCAGCTTGGGCTCTCTGAAATGATGACACAGGAGACACCACAGTTACACACATACAAATTATTAGTTTCTAAACAAAGTTCTCATACAATGAAAAGCATGTATAATGCATTTAACATGCAGCTTTGAAAAAAAAAATATTCCCTTTATCTATTATCAGTTCAAATTCCCTGATAATAGGAAAATCATACCACTTCCTTCCCTTCCCTTGCCCTAAAAGAAGTTAGATCATAGTTTCACATAATTATGACTCTTTTTTAGTTAAACTGTTCCTACTTTGTAATGCCACATAGACACAATTTTGCTTTGGTTCAGTAAGCTTTTGTTACTCTAGAGAGTCTCCAGCAAATCATTATGATGACAATACTGTAATAGACTAACAGTCAGTGTACCAAAAACTATTAGCTCGGCTTTACTACGACTGCATTCTCTTCAGGAACTAAGTTTTGCTGGGGATAAGCTTAAAGGTGCATAGCCTGCTCTTCCTTCTGAGCCAAACTATCAACACAAAAATAACCCTGAAATCTCACTCACCAAACTACCTCATTGGAACTTTCAAAGTCTCTATGCTTGTTTTTGATGGGCTTTCCTCAGAAAAGTCTTCAGACTACCTCTGAGAGAACTATGGATAGGTGTTCCTTCCCAAATGTAGTGCTGTGACTTTAAGTCATGTCTCAGTAACACTATTTCCTTGGAAGATGGACTAAACATGGCACACAATACAAATGTTAGCTAGTTTCAGAAACCCCTGCAAAATAATCTGTACTTTAGGCCTGAGCCTAGACACTAAATCAGTAATGTAGTGTTCAGCCACTCTGTTAGTGCCTCCAAAATTTAAATAAAACTCAAATGTAAAAGTGGGGGGGAAAAAAAGTAAAATAAAAGTAGACAATGTTGTTTTTAGAGAAGGAAAAAGCAGGTGTCATGCACTGAGCTGAAAATAATCTGAGAAACAGCTACAAGCAGCCTTATTTGCAAATATGAGTAGAGTTTTCCTGAGGCTGTAACACACACCACATCCTTAAAAGAAAAAATAAATAAATCTTCTTTATTTATTTGTTTTTGCAGATAACAATCCAATCCAGCAATCTTGAATAAGGAAAGATACAAATAACATTTATTAGATTGACAAGCCTGCAAGTTTTCAGGGAATTGTGTCGGCACAGATTAAAAATATGCACTTATTTTTGCCCAATCACTACTTGCAACATTCTTACATGAAATAAAATCATGATACACACATCACAGTATATAATTTATGTATCTAAATGGGAGGTCAATTGCAATTCATCCAGCAATCCAAAAATCCAAACAGATTTCCACTGCAATATGGTGGTTTGTATCCTTTGATATTATTGTGCAAAGAGTTCTTTTGTGTTTACAGATTAGGATTTAAACCACCACCTACAATGTTCAATTCATATTTTTACAAAATCAATTTTTGTATTTCAAAAATGCAAGAAAGAAATTAATTATATTGTTTGGCATGAAGCTGCACATAAAACTGATACTTTATCAGTGAAAACACCCATTTTATTGGCTCTATGGTTTTTCTTAAAATAAACAATCAACATTAAGTTTAGTCATGTTATCTTTTTAAAATTTGAACAATTTAAAGACTATGATTTTCCTGACTTTGGCAAGGTCTTGGAACAGTGACAACACCATGAATCTTTCAAAAACAAGTTACATGACCCGCCACAATAACATTCATATCTGACAAAGTGAAAAGCTTCAAAAGAGCTGCTTTTGGGGCAGAAAGTGGTTCATCGTGTATCAGCTGGGTTTGTTCTTTCTTGTGTTCTTCAGATAGCATCTACAGACCACATAATTAGCAATTAAGTTTAAGAAAACACAAGCATAGCTTTTTGTGGTATTCCTGCTACTATATTGTGGACATGGGGAAAAAATCAGGACTAATTATTCAGAGAAAAGATTTACTGGAGAAGACATAATATTTTCTTCATGTTCTGAAGCTACTGAGAGCTGTTACCTGTTAAAAGTCAGGAATGGCAAAAGTTCTTTCAAACATAAAGTAAGCAAGTATTTCTAAGTAGTGTAGAATACAATAGCAGGCTCACCTACAGCAGGCTGCTTAGAACTGTTTCCCACCAGGTTTTAAATGTATCTGAGGATGGAGATTACACAATGTCTCAGGGCAACCCATTCCAATGTTTGACCACTACGAGAGTAAGAAAGTTTCTTAAGTGGATTTTTCTGTATTCGAAATAAGGCACATTGCTTCTTGTCCTGTCACTAGGTACCACTGGAAAGCATCTCCATTTGCAGACATTGGTAAGATATGCCAAAGCCTTCTCCAGGCTGAACAGTCTTTAACCATCTTCATGGCCTTTTGCTGGATTAGCTCCACTATGTCCATGTTTCTCCTGTACTGAGGAGCCCAGGACTGGACACAGAATTTGAGATGTGTCTCATCAGCGTTGAGTAGAGGGAAGGTTACCACCCTCAACCTGGCAGCAACACTCTGACTTCTGCAGCCTCGGATACTGCTGCTGGGCACCTTTTCTTCAATGGCATGTATGTTGTCCACCAGGAACCTCAGGTCCTTCTCTGCCATGCTGCTTTCCAGCTGGTTGACCCCAGTGTACAACAGTACTCAAGGTTACTCCTCAGGTGCAGAAGTTGGCATTTCCCTTTGTTGAACTTAGTGAGGTTCCTCCTATCAGTCGACTTCTCCAGCTTTTCAAGGTTCTTTCTGAATGACAGCAGAACCATCTGGGATGTCAACTATCCCTCCCACTTCTGTGTTGTCAGCAAACTTGCTAAGGATATTCCCCGTCTCATCATCTGGGATATTAATGAAGATATTAAACAGTACTGAACACAGGATCAACCCCTAGGGTATTCCATTAGTGACCAGTCCCCTGCTGGACTTCATGCCACTGGCCACAACCATTTTAGCCTTTCAGACCACTTCACAGTTTACTTACCTAGACTGTATTTAATCTGTTTGTCTACTGGGATGTTACCAGAAATAATGTTTAGAGTCTTGCCGAAGTCCAGTTAAACAACATCTACTCCTCTCCTCTCATCCTTCAAACCAGTCATCTCACTGTAGAAGCCTATCACATTGGTCAGGCATTACTTCCTTCTCAAAAACCCTTGCTGACTTTTCCCAACCACCTTCTTGTTCTTAGAATGTATGAAAAAGGTTTCCAGGATTAGTTGCTCAATTCCCCTTCCAGGCATCTAGATTAGGCTGATCAGCCAATGGTTCCCTCGATCCTCCTTGTCCTTCTTTAAGATGGGAAAGAGATTTGTTTTCTTCCAGGCCTCAGGAGCCTTCTACAATTGCCATGACTTTTCCAAGACTGTAAGAGTGGCTTTGCAATGACATCAGCCAGCTCTCTCAGTACTCATAACTGCATCTTATCAGCACCACAGACTTTTGTTTAGCCAGTTTGCTTAAATGTTCCCTAGCGAGATTCTTCTCTACTTCCTTCATGAAGACCTTCACAATGTCCTCAGTGGCTTGGTATTCTGAAGGGCAAGTTGTAACCACTAAAGTCTGAGAAGAAAGCATCCAGTACTTCAGCCTTTTTCATTTACTTTATAAGCAGAGCCCCTTCCCCCATTCAGCAGCAGGCTCCACATTCCCTAAATCTTCCACCTGGGGCTGGTTCACTTTGCGGGGCCATTCTTGCTGTATTCACATTCCTCCCGGAGCCAACTCCATGTAGTCTTAGACTCTTCTAACCACATTCCTGCGTATTCAGATAATGCTCTCTACATTATTCCTCCAGAGAACAATATAATGTCCTCTGTATTGTAGGGACAGATACAATCACCTGTCCGTGATTCTATCTGCCTCTTTTTTATGTCTGAGTTCAGTCAGGAGCTCCTTGTTCATACAAGCAGTCCTCCTGCCACCTTCACTTGATTTTCTCCACATCAGGGTGAACGATGCTTGAGCTCCTCCACAGTAATTTCACAGACAGAGTACTCCCTGTCTGAAAAAAGTTACCTCTTGGATAACAAGAGACAGAAATAATATCTATTACAATTTGACTGTTGGTGTAGTGGAAAGTGTTCTGTTTATTTACTAAAGTTGTGGTTTAACACTGATAGGCAGCTAAGTACCACACAGTTGCTTGGTCACTTCACCCCAGCAGTGTGGGGAGAGAACAGAAAGGGTAGAACTGAGAAAATTCATGGACTGACATAAAGACAATTCAATAGGTAAAGCAAAAGCTGCATGTGCAAGCAAGGCAAAACAAGGAATTCCTTTACTACTTACCACTGGCAGGCAGGTGTTTAGACATTTCCTGCAAAGTAGGATATCGTGCGTAACATTTACTTGGTAAGAAAAACACTGTAACTCCAAACTTCCCAACTTCCTCTTCCTTCCCCCAGCTTTCATTGCTGAGCACAACGTCATATGGTACAGAATATTCCTTGGGTCAGCTGGGGTCAGCTGTGGGGGCTGACCTAACTTCTTGTGCATTTGCTGGCAGGGCAGTGTGAGAAGCAGAAAAGGCCTTGATATTATGTAAGCATCACAAGCTACTATGAAGAAAATTAACTATCCTAGCCGAAACCAGTATACAACTCATATGCAATTCTATCCTGGTAAATGGAAATACTATACTTACAGCCTGATATGGTGAACTTTCAATCTTAAGTTCTCTGTGCTTGGAATACTGAACATAAACAGGCTGACTGTGGAGATGAGGTATAGAATAATTACAGTGGTTCACCACAGCAGCAGCAGCTTCTTCAGAATCCATTTCCAATAATGCCTGCAACCAATACATAGCACTTTTCAGTGTTGTGTTGTTTACAGGAGGGAACAAAGCATCAAAGTACCATATTCCCAATTCTACTCTCACTAGAAAATGATCATGTGAATGTACAGCATTGATTTGTTCAGCATTAAAATGCATGTTTATGGGGATATTTGATCTGTGGGTTTTCTTAAAAGATTTTACATTGTAAGTACAGTAGGTCATTAAAGATAAGTATGACATATGGGAAGCAATGCAGCTAAAAATACCACACTGCTAATGAATTTATTAGATTCCTGAAAGCAAGCACTACTACCTAAGTAGCAGATACACATATTGATTGAAAAAATAGGAACAAGACACTAAACATCAGTTTGTGCATATTAATCCAGCTCACTGCTGCAGACAATTTTTTTATTAGTGCCTATTATTTTAGCATTTCAGTGTTTATTCATAATGTGAACTACCCTATTGTATCTAAGAGGAAAACACAAAATAAAAAACCCTAAGCAATTTATTTCAGATTAAAAAGTTAACATGCATGTTAGTCATTTAATCAGGTGGGGTCATTTCAAGACTTATATCGACTTCAATAGTAACAGCATAGTTCTTTATCATCTATATATACTTACACAAGGTGGATATTACCAACAAGTTACTAGATCATTATTTAATCCAAGTGTATTAAAAATTAATATAAGTATCAGTACATTTTTCACCTTTGAAAATTATTAGAATCTTGAGCTATCAATGAAATGTCTAGAAATTGTTGCAGTCATTACAGCCAAATGCAGTATCAAAAGGGTCATAACATGAACTGTATCCCCAGCCTTGCTCTTATAATAGAAACATTGAAAATTACATACCTGACATTTTCGTTTCAGCCTCAAGAAGTTCGTTACTTTGCCAAAAGGCATGCCTAATGAAATGACTTCTGCTTCAGTAGCATCACTTGGAATTTGACGAATATGAAGGACACGTGAAGGGGAGCATAGTGATCTGTCTGCTTTAAATTTCTTCTTATCATTCTCATTATCTAAAATATTTTAAGGAGGAGAATGGACAAGCAAGCAAGGCAAACTTTTTAAACAATGTAAGTACCAAAACCTAAAAAAAATATTAACTGCTGTCTCAGCACTTACGTTAGCTTACTTACAGCTCTCTGAATCCTAAGAAAGTTCATGTATAACCAAAGGACAGTTTAAGAAGATTCCTTTTGTTGGTTCCAAACCTCCACTACAAGTGGAGCGTGTGGTAGGTTTGTTTTGCTTTGGTTTAGTTTTTGGTTCTTTGGTTCCTTGGGGGCTGAGGGGAGGTTTTTGGGTTTGTTTTTTGGTGGTTTTTTTTCAAGTCTTACAGGTAGAGAGGCTAGTAACTTCTTCCCAAATGCCCATGTAACATATTTAGAAAAAGTTAATTACATGGAAGAGGGGAAAGTAGTAATTGGGAGGTTTTGTGGGTTTTTTTTTTTAGTTATTACTAACTGACCTTCCTGCGTCGTGTGGATTCAGCTGTTATTATTTTATTTTATTTTTATTAAAAAAAGCCTGCTGTCCCACATGATTGTGAATTGTAAAAAGTATCTGGAAAGGATAGACAGCAGTAAGGTGTGAAATCCATGCAGATTCTAATCTCTTCCACTTTAGCAAAATGCTTTTTTTCTTTCTCTTTTCTTTTTTTTTTTTTTTTAACATATGCCTATTTGCATCCTCTAAGAGGTAAGTGACCATTGGTTACATTTCAAGGAGATGACTTGCAGTCCTTGAGAGCCCTTTTAAGCAAAACACCACATCTAGAACAGGCATATAGCTCTCAATGCTATCACAATGGAGTAATAACTTAAAAGTAGTAATAATGAAATTCATTAGCCAAGCTACAGATCCCAGTTAGATATTGTCCTACGGCAAGCTACAGAGGCTTATGAGACTTGATGAAAAAAAATTCTAAACTGATTTAAAGACAGTCTATTTGACGGAAATTGTACTCAAGTCTAACTGCATACTACTTAAAGGAAGAAACATTGTTTGCTGTTTTTCTCACTTATGTGCCACAAACAGCTTCACTCCATTGAAACAGCCTTTACACCTCATGTGCTACATTTAGCCTTCCAAGGATAATCAGAAAAGATTAAGAAAAAATACCTGTTTAGGCTTAGTAAGTAATTTCATATTTTGCTGTAGGTTTTGAGTACAGTCTAAGGCTGAGAAACAGTTCACGTAAGTCATTCTGTATAACGACCTTTAGAGAGGACATTTTTACTAGTCTCAACCATGCCACGCTCAGAAGCCAAGTTAAGTAATTCTCCCACCTGGGGTGGGGGAGGGATATGCATTGACTTTTCCAGCAAGAAATTCTAAATGGCATCATGTACATTCTGAAAAATATACACATGTGGCATTCTTGTTGGGGCTGAGACTTTAAGACAAAGAAAACCATATTAAACTCATATCAGTACCAAGACACAACAGGGTATAATACCATCAAAGCCCTACAACCCATATAACCCATCCTGTTTTATTAAATCTACTTTTCAGGTTCAAAAGGACAAAATATCCTTGACTTTACTATGTTGAGGACTCCTTGACCAAAGAAACCAGGAAATTAAACCTAACAGGAACTTTGCCTTTAGTTTAAGGTGAGAGGCTCTTGCAGAAGCAATACTTTCTGGGTTCTGACTCATTATCAGAAGCAATGAGATGGAGCTAAGTGGCAAGCTCAACATTTTCTCTTTACATCTTCACTGAGAGTTACAGGAGTTTTCAGATCAGGCAGTCAGCCAAAAAGGACAACTGACTTCAGAGCTCCTCAGTATTTTCATTAGGTTGCTGGACTCCAATAGGTTGCTGGAGTCAGATTACAATTCAAGCTTGGTGAGGATGCTCATGGTGACCATGAAGAACACACACACACACACACACACACACACACACACACACACTCTTCCTACCCTCACCCCCCAAAGAAAATAAAATTAAATAATTGACAGAGAAAAATACACACTGTTCATGAACTGTGATAAAAATCTTTTCTTATGTATACCCGCAGCTTGAGTAGGATTGCTCATGGTAGTAGGCCTGTTACTGACACCAGAAGAAAGAAGCTCGTCACGTCCACACTAAAAAATAAGAAGCAAGATTACTAGTAAAAGTTGTTATAGAGAAAGAGCTTCATACAAAAGTGCAAAAACTCCTGTAATTTATTCTTCCCAAAAATGTCCTCTTTCTATACACATAATCAACCAATGCTGTGAACTCACTTTTCAGGAAAATGTGCCAACCACACAAATTTTCCTTCTCTCTCAAGAAGTTAGTAAGTTCAGCGGTGTTACACTTCTTACTTCTCTTAATATTTACCATACTACAGTTTACATTTTAAAAGAATAGCAAACACTTACAAAAAGAAATGAGCTTGCTGCCAGGTCCGGGTCTGCAATACAACATTGCTTCTAGATGTAAGTAAACACACAACCACACAGATAAAGTCAGCATTTGTGACTGGACACAGTGGACCTTGAGGAAAACTAATTGAAGACATATTTAAATATACCTATGGCACTTTTGTTAAAATGTAATTCTTGTCCTAAGAACTTGATGGTGGACCATATCTTCTTTTAAAAATACTGAATATCTAAGTGTATGTTTTAAGAATGCTGACAATTTGAGGCTCTAAAAGAAAATAGCTCGAGAACTACAAGTTCTTCATTCAAAAATCAGTGCCTAGATGCCAGTTAAATCTATTTACTCTTTAAGACTGCTACTGTATGGCCAGCCAAGCCTCTAAAAGTCCTCCAAAACACCAAGAAGAAACAAAATACCACAACACCTCTAAAAGGCAGTTAAGGTTCCTGAAACTTTCACCACACTCTTCCGTAAGAACATTTTCATTAAAAAACTGAGATTAAGGTCCCCTATAGGTGGGATCTTAGTCCTTCCACCTAGGACTTCGGTGGAAGGAGAGGTTCCCATCACCCTTGCTCCAGTATTTCCACCAGCTCATGATCATGAGCTGTTTATCCTGCACCAGTTCTGGTCCTTAAGAGATTTTATATGAGATGACTCAGTCCTCCAACCAGGCAGCACTCTATGCTGAGTTATATCAGCTAATCAGCTAAAAGAGGGGTTGAAAAGTGCCAGAATCCAGTGTGAAGAAAGGGGTAGAGATACTTGAAGGAGACAGAACTAAGAAAGCATCCTTTAGCAGCAGCAAGCCATCATTTTGGCCTGTATTGGCTGTGGAACTACCGCTCACAGAAGACTGGTTTATCAGTTGTCTGTGCTTAAGGGAGCAGTTTGGCTCTTTTCATTCATAACCATGTGTTCAGACTGCTTCTCCAGTGTAGGGAAGGTCATTAACAACAGAAGGCTGTGACCAGTTTAGGGTGGTGAAAAACCTTTTCAGCCATACTTAGCTGCTCATAAAGCAGCACAAGTTTTAGTGTAGGATAGAGGAAAGCATGACAGTGTTCATTCCTCTCTGGCAGCAGCACAGACAGTATTCGTTGTTACTATTGTTACATGAAAAGAAATAAAGACTATAAACAATACATTTTAAAGAATTTCCAATTCTCATTCTTTTCAGTTGCCACCAGTTAAATCCATATGCAATAAAAATATAGGCTAATATAAAGAGCAGCCTATTCAGCTGAACAAAGAGCACACCATATATTATACATGCCAAGAAATGCTTCTTTGGATGGTCACATTTTAAACTGATCTCTTTAAAGTTTGTCAATTAAATGATTATTACAAAAAAAAACAGCAACAAAAAAACCCCAACCAAAACTACAACAGACTTCTTAAGGAAAAAAAAAAAAAACAACCAACCTCTTCTGTTTTTAAAAGTTGTCTTAATTGATTCAACTCGGTATTCAAATAAGTATCTTAGTGCAGAAACCAGAATCTACTACTTTGACAAGCTATGTAGTTACTGGTTTTGCAGAAGGAAAGAAAATGTGCAAGATATTTACAAATTAGTCTAAGTTGTCTAGGTATTAGTCTACAAGTGAGAAAAATACATAAACTAGGAACTGTTAGACACATATATGTCATGAAAGTTATAATTTACAAAGAAAAAATTTGTTTTCAACTTAAATTTCACTGCCAGCATCAGTAATTTCCAGCACAGACCTCTTTGTAGGTTTGGAAAGATAATTTAGCTTTCTCAGATCAAGTTCTAGCATATTCTAAAAGAAAATGTATGTAATCTTCACAAGAATTATTCATCTCTTTTAGGCCATCCCACTACAATAGTTTCATTCAGTAATAATACTGCTTGTGGGAATTATAAACAGTTGCTTGGAAAGCATAATTTGATTTTGGACATTTCTTTAAAAACAGGTAAAATTTATAGTGCTCAGTAACCAGACCAGTAAGGGGCCTCTACAAAGTGTAGCACTGAATGATAGGTTAATTAAATGAATAATTCTTCTATATCTACCATGGTCAATTTTCCTGAATAAATAAGGCATATTACACAATTTCAGACTACAGCAACAGATGCCTTTCCTGAAACTACTTAAGCTCTTCTGTGATTTTAAATTTCTGATAGTAATACATGTTAGTGATTCTGCAATTCAAGTAAAAAAAAACCTGTGTAAATAAAATACTGCACTCATAGCAAAGACGTCTAACAAATATCTGAAAGTCAACAACTCTAGGTTTCTAAAGTCTTTTCAAGTCATGTATAGTTTGGTATTCTTCAGAACATGTCCATTTGTCAGAACTCTGGCAGGTTTAAATAGATTATCATGTCAGTATGAAGTTTTGTGTACTTCTCTACAAGATTCTACATGGCAACAAATTATTATTAATTACTTAATTATTAATTATTATTAATTACTGTTCCAAAAAAGTCACACTCCGAAACATCACAGTATCAAGCTATAGCAGTGAAAAATTATTGTTAAATGTAAATTAACTGTTCTAATGTATACCTTATTAATTTTTATAGTACATGATTGTAGAAAAAGAATAAATCTAAGGGTCATAAGAGTGGAAATTCCCATTACCTTCTACTTCTGCAGTAAGCTTTTGAAATACTTGTTATATTCCTTTATTTTTTCTTCCACAAACCATGTTTGCAGAGATGCAACTCCTACTTCCAAAATGAGGATTTCATGCAAAATGCAATACCACTTATGCCAAAATAAAAAGTTTTCGAAGAAAGTGTAGGTAAAATAAGGGTAACATCAAAGTAATAGATTTGCATTTAAAATGTATTAAAAATAAAGTGACTTACAAAGAAAAAGTGCCATTTCAATAAGCTGAAACATAAGGAAATTATAAGCAATTATCACAATCAGGCAAGCCTCCTTTCCTCTGCTGCAAAGATCCCTCGCAAACACATTGGTTGAACAGTCTGATTGTCAGTCATTCCAGAACCACATTGTTCTCTCACAGGTAGCTGCTTTTCTGCAGGCTTGAATGGTTAGTAGCTCTGTTACCAACATTGCCTGCTATATTCCTTCTATTACCAACTACTGAAGCTTCTGGCTATGCTCGTAACAAGACACTGTACACTTTCAGTCATGCAACAGTAATTAAAAAGTGAAAAGGAAAAGAATTAATCAAATTTTAGCCTTGTTGATTTCATTAATGAAAAGATAGTGTTCTTTTTAGAACAACAAACAATTAGAAAAGCTGCAGTAGTATATACTGTCACATGAATTAAATCATCTTTCCTAACTGTGATTAGGAAAGAGTTTCTATGACACAAAAATAACTTTGAATAAACAATTCCTAAGGCAGATGCCATACTGAAGTGGGAATACAATAAAGACTCCAAAACAGCCTAATATGCTACACTGAGTATTTAGAAGAATTTAAAATCCAACAATTTCAAGAAGTGCATAAGAAGTAATTCTAGTAACTGTCCAGTCATCCCATCTTAACTTTTGCAATGTAGATGATGGAATCATGGAATCACATCACCATTTTTTTTATAAAACAGATAGAAAAAATTGTCAATAATAAAACTGATTACACACATTTGTGCTGTTGTCTTTACAGCTATTCCTCTTTTTAGTGGTATAAACTGTTATTTAAGATTGATGCAGCAGTTTAAAATTTAAAAAACAAACAAAAAATTATTTTTAAAACCACATAAATGCTAACTGCATTAGAGACACATCTTAAAAATGCAAGGAGATGAAGAATCCAACTGCTCTTGCATATTTTGAGGTTATCCATAAAGGCAAACATCCATAACAGCAACTTCCATATCCACAGCAGGCTGGCAAAGCAGGTCACCATCTCCCCATTTTTAAATATTTGCCTTGCCACATATAACAGATGTTCTAGTAATAGAAAGTATAACCACTACATAAAAATTCTGAAGTGTAATTCTAGTGCAAAGCCAACTCCCTATTTTTGGATGCAACGCACGAGGCATGAAACTTCAGCAGACTTTGAAAAAAGTCGATTAAGCAGTATCAAACTTAAAACAAGTACTCTAATTCTATACATAAGGAGTAGATAAAGAAATGTAGCTCTGACAATAAAAGCCCTGAAGTCATATTTTAACCATTTTCAACATTTTGCATTCAGTCAGTTCTATTATTGCCACTTAATACTCAAGTTTACCCCTCACTATAGTAGCAGAAACCAGAAATCCAGGTACTTGTTTGAAGAATTCAGGTTATATTTAACTGAACATTTTTTCTACTATTAACAGTACTCACCAACTACAGTAACAGAAAAAGTGAAAACATAAATTGCAAAAGGACCTCAGCCCCATGCCCTAAAAATGACCTAGGCATTTCCCTTCTCTACTTTCCACACATTCTAAGAATTTTATTTTTCCATTCTTCCTAAAATAAAAAGGCAACTAAATGTAAGTCAGGTATAAATACCATGAGTTTTCATTAAGCAACATGATCAGGAAGAATGCAAGAGTCTTTTTGTCTGTGTAACTAAGAAGTATTTAAAATTTGAAGTATTTGGTCACTTTATCAGCATTCCAATTCCTATATAAACTGAAAATACGAGAATGTTTATATTAGGTCAGTCCAAAAAAAAAAAAAAAACAACAAAAACAAACAAACAAAAAAAACAAACCTAAAACAAAAACAAAAAAAAAAAAGAAAAAAATCTAATACCTCTAACCAGTGATGCCCAG